AGTTGGTAATTGGTAACTAAGAGCGTTTGTTAGTCGCGACTCGACGAACGCTTTGCGTCACTGGTTGCGTAAACGAGAACTAACGGCGGCTCAACTTTCCGTTGCTCCAGGGAAATTAAATTGATGCATTTCCGGCTATGTATTACCGTTATTTCGAGTCTCAAGTTTGACTTAATCGAGTCTTACAACACTCGGAACTATTTCGATACGTTTTAGTCGACACTTCGACCTACATTCTCGCCTTTTCTCGATCCCAGTTTCCGCATCCCAACGTACATACACGTAGGATAAAGTAAAATTGTAATACGATCGAAAGAAATGTAAAAGGAACTTTGTTTCTTCCACGCGTATTCTTTTTTTCAACTACAACCCCTTGTAGATAACTCCTCGTGCCTTTGGACTCGAAAATCGAGGGAGTCTTAAATTCTTTCTCGAAGCAAGCGTAACCTTTCAAACCTCGCTACCTTTTGCTACTCTTTGTTTAGAGAGACAGGGAGGGAGAGAGAGAGAGAAGCACGCGGCGCTGGCGTCCAAGGGTAAATTAGTGCTTTCACGTGAAAGGGGAAAGATGTTCAGGACTGTTCGGAGCACTTTATTGGCCTCTAAGTAAAAAAGTCCATTAAACATCGGACCTCCGTGCGTGCGCGTGCACGTGCGTGTGCTTATTTCCTGACCGCGAGATCCTCACCGAAAATCGATGCTCCTCGATCGCAACATTGAAAATTCCATTACGTTCAACCCAAAGTAACTTTGATTACGCGGCTTATAAAAAAAAAATCGAATCGAAGGAATGCAAGAAACAGTCCAATCTCCAATTAATACGTATAAATTAAATTGAAAACAATTCGAAGCAACGACGAAAAGATGAATGGTAAAATAAGAGTGGTACGAAGGGTTAGGAAAAGTTAAACGAAGCGCCGAGGGATAATAGGCGTGGTGGCATGGCATGGCGCTTCTAAATGCAGAGTATGTAGGTCGGAAGGGCACGTACATACTTCTGTAGGACGGGAATTGTAATACCGAAAGCATATACGGTAAGCCCTCGAGACTTACACCGTTAATTTGTTCCAGAGCTTTCCACGTGAGTCGAGTACAGCGGTGCAAGTCCAATTGTACAAACACGATGCATCGAGGGGAGAAAGAAACGGCGAGTTAAAGAATAACGCGGTGTCACGAGTCAAGGGGAACGTGGACGACGTCGAGCAACTTTTGCTTAGGCTCGAGCTTCGCGAATATTTCGACTATAAAAGGACAGTCCTCTATCGGAACAAAGTACTATACGTATAGCGATCTAGAACGGAACACGATCGTTGTATCGTACAAATGAAATTAGACAAAATTTGACTCGTTCTTTACGCGTGCAAAACTATATACGTACGTCTACGTAAATTTTTCTTTAATTACCAGTCGAAACGTCACCATGGAACATATTTCTTGTAATTTGTCTCGATTGCTAATTATCTTCCGCGTGAAAATAAAACTGTTGTAGCGAAATATATCATACGACGGATCATAGAGGGAAACGGCTGAATTTTCCTGGCCAATAAACCACGCTTTTCTCCCAACGTTCGCGTAAGCATTCTCGTGCCCAATCGTGGAGTTCAGCAACGAACGCAGAAAGTGGTTCAAGTACGGGCATGCAACGACGCGCTTCTGCCCGAAATAACGATTACTCCCACGCTGTTTACCTGAGGGACGAACTATCGATTATACCGCGCGATAAATATAACGTAACTAAAGCCGGTCGACCTTCTTCGGGCGAGCATAGTCAATGCTCGTTTTCAAGGTGGCCTTTTTCTTTTCCATCCCTGCTTCTACATGGACGTGGCGACTGCACCCTCTTGGTAACAAGATAAGAAAAACTACAAGATTTCGGGCCGTCGAAATCTTATTCGTTGTACAGGGTGTTTCGTTCCAAATCGGAATGATTACGTATTTCCTGAAGATGAGATGGAGATGTCGAGAAAATGTTTTTACAAAAGTTATTTGGTTCGAACGACCGAATAACTTTTGTATAAACATTTTTCTGATTGCTTCGTATACCGGTGAGATACGTAAATGTACGTATTTAATCAACGTTGGTAACGTATAAACCATAAATGTTCAGTTTTATTTTACGAAACTTTTTCCAACAAAAGTTCCGAGCTAATCGTTTCCACGAAACTTTTCCTACGTACAATTTTCAACTACCTGTTCCGCGAGAACAGTTTCTTCGATCAAGTATCGAAGAGCAAAAATAATTGCGCGTAAAATAAATTTTATCAGACGATGGAGTTTATCGATGAAACAAATTGGCGAACCATTGGAAAAGCCAGGAGAGAAGAACTCGTAGAGGTTGAGAAACGCTGGCTCGAACGTCGATACGTATAAGCGCGGGAAAAATGGGTGGTGCAGCTGGCGCTGTTATTGAACCTAACCTCGATAAAATATACTCGACATGTCGACGGCAAGCGTCACGTATGCGTGACGCACCAAGTCTCGTGAGAGACCTACGTCACGTGTATGTAACACGGCTGATTTTCTATTTCGCGTCCTTGCCAATAAAAGCGGTATCGAGGTTGCATTTTTGCAACAATTTAGGTTAAAGTTTACGACGCCGTCTCGCCTGCTCCTCAACGGTTACGCGATTTTTTGTTTCGTTACTTCCGTATTCCGGCCTTCTTGTTAATTCCAAACGTATCAACGTATAGTTTCTGTTATCGAATTGACCACCAGCCCTCAATTCTAGAGCCTAGACATCGGTCACCCAAGGACTCGTGTTCCTCCTCCATTTTCTTTCTCGGCGTACTCTACCTCCGATCCGAATCATCCCAATTCCAGGATCCTCATTTGTCACTCGTCTCTCCTGGTGATCCGAGCGGGAATATTAACGTTCAATTTCCTCTCCATAGTTCTCGTTCATTTGGCAAAGTTAACCGTAGGCTCTCGCCTGGTCAAGGTTTCGAGGAATCGAGCAACTTCAATGTCTCCTATCTTCTCCATAGTTCCTTCAGAATTTGTATCTCATCTTTCACTGTCAGCCTCCGTTCTCCCCGGCATTTATCGCATTCTTCCGTAAACATCAGCGCGTCGAGTTTCAGCGACATCGTATATCGCAGTCACCGTCTAATTGACAAATTTGGCCCAAGTGCTCCCCAGCTGGCAAGCTCTCCTCGAGGATCCTCGAAGCTCTTTCGAGCTCCTGTTGCATAGGCTTGGTCGCGAGCAACGGCGCCATGCGCTCCGTTGAGTTCGAGGGATGCACAGCCCGTTCAGGGGCGAGCTATCGAGACCAAGAGCTGCTGTCATTCGAGAGGACACACTCGATCAAGAGTGCCCTCCCTGTTGCAACGCGTCTGCCACCGACCCTTTTCTATCGTCTTTTCTCATCCTCTTTGTCAGACTGCTGTGCATACACGTCTTCCACTTGTAATTCGGATAATATTTATGTTTCGTTCAAAACCATTCTATGCAAGTAATAAATTGTGCGTAAGTAAACTTACTAGTCTGAGAATAGACCAGTATTCCCACGTGTATGTACGAGTCCGTAAAAAAATAAGGGAGGTGTTCGACTCCTTATTGTAGGAAATGCTGGCGTTTACGCAGAAAAATAGTACCCCGAGAAATGATGTTGAAATTGTCTCGTTCGAAAAGTAGTAGCGGTAGACTGTTTGCGTGAACTTGCGCCTTCGCGAGATTCCGAACCCATTCGTGAACCAGCAGCGAAAGCATGGTTGACCGAGTCGATGAATCGGTCGCGTACAAGGGGCGTAAGGTCGATGTGCGTGGCCTTGACCTGTTTCAGGAGGCGAGACCGGGTCAGAAGTATGCGTTCGAACGAGCGGCGCGCGACTGTAACCAATAGCGAGACCCGGTCGATTTGCGTGCACGGAGACCCGACTTGCCCCCTTCGTGCGCGCACTTTGATGCACCGATTACTCTTGTTTCTTTTACGCGCGCATCGGTCTGGCTTGCATCGAACATAAGAAACCCGCAAAGAAGAAAAATTCGTTTAGAAATTTTATCGAAACCGGTCAACCACCCTTATTCTATCTACGATTTTTATTATTTAAAGTTTGGTAACGATGTACATTGTTCCAAACAACTTTCTCAAATAATCTTCTCCGAGTATCGACCATTATTTTCATATTAAATCATTCGACTACTGTTGAACACTTTTTAAATAGCTACTTTCCTCGCGTCTCAACTCGAACACGAACGAAGTCTCGTTTTCAGCCTTTTACTCGAATCTTTCCCCTCGAGGATTACATTTTCAAACAAAATTTGGTCACAAAACTCCTTTCCCTCAAAGTAAATCAGAGACGCTTCAAAGCATCCAGGGTTCTTTCACTGGTCGTTATCGCGCGCTGAAAAAAAAAAAAAAAAACGGCGAAAGAAGTATCGCATTTAATTAAGGGCGGCCCCTTAAAAAGAACTGCACGAAGCTGAGCTCGAGCAGGAACTCGGCCATCGCGGGATCCTTGTCCAGCGCACGAGGAAACGATAACAGAACTTCTCGTCCATTCGTTTTATTTGAACGGAGAATTATGCGTGCTCGTAAAGTCGGCTGTAATTATCACGCGAAACTTGACCGCTGTAAGGCTCCCTTCCTTTTTTTAGTAGTATTTCCGTATCGTATTTGGAAGAAACGCGATCAGCTTCATTTTTCGATATTCTCGACCGAGGAAATCGAGCCTCGCTCAGCGGAAAAATATTAATCTCGATTCGTCCCGTATTGCGCGCGCTTCATAAAGGAACGTTTTATTATTAAACGTCGCGACTGCAGATGTTCGGTCGCGCGGCAGGGAAAACGAATATATACGGAAGGAAACCGGGGAGACGCAGTGTTCAAATTTGTGACGGATATGACGGCCACGGGGTTTTCGAAAATAAATGAAAAAACAGAAAGAAAGAAACTAGCTTTCATTTAAGGAGAAACTATCTACTTTTCTACTCGTAAGTGCAGGTTGTCGATTGAAAATGCAATTATGTAATCGGTTGTTTCTCTTTTTCTGTTACAGCTGACAGCAGTTTTCTCCTGGCGAACGCTCAGATCGTCGACTTCCCTATTGTCTATTGCAACGAAAGCTTTTGCAAAATCTCTGGCTATAATCGTGCCGAGGTAATCCTCTCTTCTCCGCAATCGTTGCTTCACCGAACTCCCATTTCGTCCTCGCGTACTATATGCTTTTCTAATATCTTTTTTCATTGGTTTCGCGAGCCGATCTTACACCGACGATTCATATTTCTGCTGCGTTAATCGCCAACTTTCGAAATAATCAAACAACTTATGTAAGCGATCTTTTGTTCGATTCGAGCATCTAGAGTATTTTGTTAACCACGCCAGAATCTACACGAGCATTTCAGCTATAAAAGGTTAACGTTTTCCTGGGCATTGGAAGTTAAATCGAACGTGTAAACGGAGGGTGTCGTGCGATAATGGCGGTACAGCCGTGAATGGGGGTGCCACTTGGTACAGAAATAACTGGTTAATTATAGAGGTGCATTTATTTAAAAAAAAATCGAGCTTGAAAATTCGCGAAAGAAAGCCTAGCTGGCTAAGATGATTCTTTTCGGCCACGTAAACACAATCGGTTTAACGTAAATTGTACATTATATCCGATATCCCTATTAAGGTTTAACGAACGATCGTGGAAAAACACGGACTAGGACAATCGAGGGTTCCGCGATAGCAACGATTCCGTGCAATTGCCACTTTTCCATTATCCCTGGCTGTGTAATTAAATTGACCCGTTACATCGAATTTATGTAATTGGCTTCTGCATCGAAGCTCGAGACAGCCGCGGCCGGCCGTGACGCTGGAAAATCGGCGCTCGTGGCGATCGATATTTTGTTTCTCGCGAAAACATCGTGATTCGAAGTAACGCAAGAAAAAATTACGACCGCGACTTTTTAATGTTGCGCTATAAAGAAATGTGAAAAGTCAGCGATAGTTCGTCGAACGAGTAATTTATAATTACTTGGATTCCTCGGTCTCTTCGTGAAAGCTATCGTCGATTAGGGCCGACACCGTGACGCGATCGTCCACTGTTAGCCGTGGTAACGGTGTACCGTGTCAGCAAACGACCCGTGGGGTAATATTTGCTGATTTGTCGGCAGGTTATGCAAAAGTCCTGCCGCTGCGGATTCATGTACGGGGAGTTGACGGACAAAGAGACGATCGCCAGGATCGAGGAATGCCTCGAGGGCCAGATTCACGATCAATTCGAGATCCTGCTGTACAAGAAGAACAGTAAGTACCGCCAACGATAAGCATCGCGGCATGAGAGACGCTTGAATGTGGTGTTCGTGGCTTCTTTCGTGGCCGAGATCGACGATTTCGAATACTTGCCCCCGTTTCGGTGCCTCGTTCTACCGTTTACACGACGAATCCTCGAAAATTTATGCTCGTGGGAAAACGATGTCTTTGGTAAACCGACGAAACCACCAAAAAATATGCTCAACAACGAAACGTCGCGACCGAAAAGAATAATGATCGTTAACGTCGCGATTGCTGCTGATTCTTAATTCGATAAATACTTTTTCCAAGTTTGGTCCAATATTTTTAGCAACATCAAACGAACGTAGAACGTTGACATTGAATTTAAGAGAAGTTGGAATGATAGACCAAAACGAATCTCAAGAGACTGTTGTCGTTTCATTTAATTTCATGAAACGTTCGAGTGACAAGCTAAGGTACAACAGCATATTATTTCAAATCACTGCTCAAAAGTTTGGTTTAATAAAGTTTTGAATAAACGAGTTGGGGCTCGGTAACGCCTATCTCCCGTTACTTTGTCTCGAATCTGCGACGACGGGACGGAAAATTTTCAGGCTACTTTCACGGGGGCAAGGCGTATCGAGAAACGTCGCGAGCAACGACGAGCAACTCGTCGATTCTCGGCGAACGACTCTGACAGAACGCCCCGAGGCGCGAGATGATGTGTCATTGTGCATGCTCGGACCAGCGAAACGAAACTGTTTGTGTCGCCTGATCTCGCCTCGTCTGTCAGCAAAGGTCTGTTTTCACGTAACCCATAATCGCCACTCTTAATTTCGTGACAGTAATTTAGAGACTCTAGCGAATTTTACACAGATACAAATAACTTATCGACAACTGTAATCGGCCGATCGGCGTTAAGAGTCGCGTGGAAACAAACCTCGACAACGACAAGGAACTGTTCCTATGCGTTCATTTCATTCGTAACGGCGTGTTTCCCTCTCTCGATAAACGCGTCACTATTCACGAGTCATACTTCTCTCGTTTCATCGATGTAATTGTGTTTCACGTTCTTCCGTACCTTTGTTTTGCCTTCTTTTTTTTTCCTCCGCCATTCAGAATCGCGTGCGTACGTTTTTTTTTTTTATCACGCGAAGAGGAGTACATAACGAGAGTAAAATCTCGTTCCTCGTGGTTGCAATCGTTCCACGCGACACTCGAACGAGCTCGGTTAACGGACGTGTCTCGGCTTCGCTCGACTCTTTATGGCTACTCTCGCAGTGGATGCATGTTCTCGTGCGAAGATTTAGACAGCTTCTCGCTCATTACGGTCAGAGATGGGCAACATTTTATTGTCGTTATTTATTCCAGACGTTTCGTAGTCGATCGAACAAAAATGAATAACCGCGTAGATGGATTTACAAATTTGTTTGTAAAAAAATGCTCTGTCGAATGGCTATTTCGTATCTTTATTTCAAATAAAATTTGCCCGTGTCCGATCGATACAACATTACATGTCGCAGTGCACTTTTCTTGTCGAAAAGTAACAAATGCAACGCAAAGTAAAATGTTTGTGTACCTACTCGGTAACGCACGCATCGCCGCGCCGCTGCGATCCGCACCTTACAACAGACGATGGTTGAATGATTTCTGCGCACCTACCTTGCGCATTGCGCAATGCGCAAGGTAAGGCCGAGGATGAGGGAGTCGCTTGTCCGTTCATCGCTGGCGGCGCTCTGGTGCTTTTGTGACGTCATGCCATGTTTCACGCTATTCGAAGCACGCACGTATGTATGTGTCGCGCGAAGCACAACCCGTGCAAACAAACATCCACTATAAGCGTAGCCTAAAAGATTCGTCGGGAATCAAAATGACGACCACGGTCTAACGGAACCGTAACGTACCCCGAAACGACCACCCCAAGTGTCCTATTAGACGACGAGGATCGTTGCACCCGAGCCCAATAATAAATGATCGTTCTGTTTAAAGGTGCCCCACGAGGTATGTCTAGCACAGGTTCGCAAAAGAGTGCTCGAAAGACCCACCAGTAAGTCACCCTCGAATCTAACTATACAAACACGATAATAATTTATAATTCTATATACATACATATTCGTATACATAAGTATATACAGAGCGTTCCATCAGAAAAGGGACGCTTGATTATCTTGTTTGTTTTCGACGGTACGAAAGAAACGTTTCGTTTTAGACGTAATTTCGGCGGCTCCGTTCGGAACCAAATAAATTATACCTGAAACACTTTTCCGAATCATCAAAAGTAAACAAAACTATTGGGTGTTCCGTTTCTGCTGGGACACCCTGTACGTTAAAATATTTAATGCGTACGTACATTGGAGATATATTGTATACGATTATTATACACCCATCTTTAGCGTGAACAAGAGACGACACACATACAAGGATCGTCGAACGATCCCTGGACCAAAGGGCGGCCATTTTCAGAGGACACTATTCAACCTCCCGCCTTCTCTTGATTTCAGTTAATTTGCCCCGATTCTATCCTACTAAGTACTAAACGCACAAGTAATACACACGTAAATGCGTATACGTTTCGCAGATAATTGTCCCCTTTACCAACTTGGCGAACATTCGCGGCCAATCGTCAAAGCTATGCTACCTTTTTAGGATTCTTTGTGACGATGTCGATCGAAAGGTCCTTTACCACATTAGGATTTGAAATTTTGTTAGCGCGATACAAGCGATTCTAGTTTCTCCAAGTAAAGTGTCCTTGAAGAGATACCAGTCGTTAAAAAAAATCTTGCATCGTAACGGAAACATGAAAAAGTAAAAAGTTTATGTAGCGTTTACTTGGCGCGTCGAGTTCTATTCTAAAATGTCGGATGATGTACACGTACGTACGCGTACATCGCGTGACGTTCGAGGGAGATGTTCGCTGGGTTAGGTGCGCAAATTGTAAGGTATGTTGCGTCCGTGTGTTTCGTCTTAATTGAAGCGTTGGCGAGGATGTTGCAAATTAACCAACGACTCGCGAAGAAATAGAAAGTCGACGTTGACAGAGTAATCACGAGTCTCTTTGCCGATTAGAAACACTCGTAAATAGTACATACGTATGCGTAACGGCGTCCGTAGACGATACAGCTTTCAGAGTCCAGGGATGATCTCGTGGACGCCTCTGCCCTGATCCTTTGGAACAGTGTCTCTCAAACGCTCCCATCGACCTAACGCATAAACGATTAACAAGCTTAATCGACATTGTTGCAAGTTTTTTCGTCTTTTACTTTTCATATTTAATCGATTTACGTTCCCGCATTGCCTCGAAATCTTGTTTCTAATTCTATTTTCCAAATTTTTCCCTACGTATTGACTCAATATCGTTTCATTCGATGGTAATATTCTGCAAATAAAAATAATCGTATTGTTTCTGTGAAGCACAGTTTGAGAAACACTGGCGTAAAAAGTCTCCGCGGCCGTTCGTTCAGGGTTTGTAATCGAGACTCGAGCACGGTTCAGCCCCGATGTGTTCAAAGTAAATTCGTTCGATTGTCAGGAACGAAAGGGAGCCTCGTGAATCAAAGACGAAACGAAAACCGAGACACGGCGGGATGGAGAAATTAAAACGAATGAAAGAGGGACGCGGAAACAAGGACGGCAGTGATTATCGAGTAGACAGGAGGGATGGAAATTAATAAAAGTCTATCCTTTCGAAGGACATTTATCACCGTGTGTCCTTGCCTCCGTGAAAACTTGCACGTTGAGATGATTTCGGAGAGTAATAAATCGCAGCCATTTTTTCGTTTCGTAACGAGTTAATCTTTCGACCGACGGAAATATCTACAGGGTGGATTATTTACAAACTTGTCGTACACGCGTTATTTTTATTCGCTCGGGAGAATATTTATCCAAGAATTTTTTAAATAGTTTCGATCGCGAACGATTGCTGCAACTCCTCCGTGGATATTTTTATTTCTGCCATTCTTTTTATACGTGTACGTTTATAAATGCATAGAGGGCTAGAGGGTAATTCTTGGGAAACGATCGATACGTGTTATTCGTTAAGTTCGAGGAAGCTTGGAAGAAACTTACCGACAGCGCAACTTTACTTCACATTTCGGATCGTCTCGCTCGATCTCGAAGCAAAAGAAGAACGCATCGAGTCCAGGTTAAGATTACAAACCCTACACGCTCCTCTCAGCAGCCTAATCATTCCCGACTCACTCTTATAATGAATTAGTCCCAAGTATCGCCAGGCGAATTCGAGTAGCGAGCGAGCGACCGAAACGAACCGAACCAAGGCGAGGAAACTTGGTACGACGACGACACGACCCTTTTAAACTTTTAGGCGATACTATGGTTGGCTTCGAATATTTTCGTCATCCGAAACAGCTTGTGGCTAGTATTGTACGTACACAGTAAACGTACCAAGTTTTTGTTCTCACCTTGGACGAGTCGTCGGCGTCGCTCGCGTTCTTGACGCTTATCCACCGGTGTAGTCGCGTGCTCGATGCACGAAATCGACGCTGGTCGGTTTCGTATCGCGAAAGGTCTATCGACTACCGTCGACCAGTGTTTCGGGGTGAGAATTGTTTGTGTCGGAATGTCAAGGACTTTTTGGGAGCTATTGGTTCAACGAAAAATGTCGCGTATTACGGTGTTCATTTTCGCCACGTAAATATACTAGTTTCGATTCATCGCGAGACCAACGTATACAATTTTCGGTATTAATAGAAAAATGCTAAAGAGATACAATCTTTATATCGTAATATTTCGTTACTAAATAATAGAATGATATTTCAAGATCCCGTATGCCCATCTGATACCAACGGTATTTTCGAGTTGAACACGGTAACTTTTCACGGATCGTTTCAGATATTTAAATTGTGACGTTATTTAGTACGACTCACCAACATCTCCCAACAATCCGCAGCATCTGCGTCTACTTGGAAGCTCAACTATCAGGATACGCTCCACACTCGTACTTTGTACGCTGTATCATCATTTCAAACACTTTTACCATGTTAGCGTATTTCACTCCAATTCCTCGACGACCCGCAAAGACAGTTACAGAAAAAAACCAAAAACAAACTAAAAGCCAGGACCTTACTTCCCGGCACTGTTAACGAACAACCGATATTCTTTGATCGATGTCTTTTATTACCGACACACCTCGGAATTGTAAAAATCGCTCTTTCTTAGGTAATGAAATAGGCACGAAACATTAGTACATAATTTACTTTTTTATTATCAAATTTTACTGCATCCAATTGTTTCACATTTTAATTGTGCACTGGACCGCTGGCACCTTGTTCGTACCACCACAGACGCACGATTACCGCCAGCGGAGTAGTCCCCGACGGACGCTCCCCACCCAGAAATCCGGTGCGCAACATTCACGCGCAGCACCGCCCACTGCCGCGTCAAACGGACCCCGTGTACTAATCTTCCGTATCGTAAAATAACTATTTATTGTTATCTACTCGGAGTAGACTCTGCTGACGCTATTCGAGCGTCTGCGCTGCGAAGGTGGACAAAATTTTATTCGAATAATAATAATACATAACAAATAGATTTATTTAATTAATTTATTCGCAATGTTTATTGCATCGAAAACGATCGATATATCGGTATATCGATATATCGTTAGTTTAACGTAAAATATATAGAATTCGAATGACGCGTCGTTAGTTTATAATTTCGACTAATTATACACCTTTTATAATAGACAATAAAAATACTTGGTTGTGTTAGTCTAGTTTTTATCAAATTTTCATTACGATATTAGAATTAGAATATAGAAGAAAAATATGATATTTAATTTAGTTTTAGTCGTGTTTGGCATGCGATCTGGAGAGTTTAAATAAAATTTACGCGTATGCATCGGATCTTTGTAACAAATTCAATTGTATCGGTACCTAGGTATCTACGTACATTCGGGTCAATTTACAGCTCGGAACTCGCGTTTGTTCCTGTACCCGTCTCGTGGTGTTTCGTTCACCTTTGTCTCCATCTTCTCACTAAAGGAACTGCGGACAACGACTTTTTCCCATCTCTGACTTCCAGTAGCGCAGAGAAACTTGAAACGATTCGGTGCACCCCATTTCGACATTCCGTCGATGTTCTACTTGTATCTCTCGCATCTCCCAACCTCCCACATAGATCTCGATTGAGCACCGCTTGATGTCTCGCCGGAGTAACCAAGTTCCCACCGCATGAAACGTCCGTTATTCACTATGCTGTAGAAAGCTCATCCGAATGCGATGATCGGCCACTATCCCTTTGTATCCGACAAATACGATATTCATTTGCACGGTGGCATGAGTTTTACCTGTGAAAGACGGATTCTTTTCGGTAGCACTGCTTCTCGTATTGCGCAACCAGCTTCGCTCGACTGTACTTTGTTGGCTCTCTGGCCATTGTATCCATCGCATAGTTGGTCAGACCTGGGTGAATTTTATTCGAGAACGGAGAGAAATCGTTCGAACCGTTCGATATTTGATTCCGTCTTTGATGTTCAGCAAAGCTATTTGGAAATGGAATAATATGAAATTGTTTCGCGAAATAATTGCGTTCGTGTTAAATAAAATATTAGTTAAAATTTGAAAGGAGATTACGAGAATGGTGCCCAGGTCTGTAATCGGTAGCCCGCCATGCCTGTAAACCATATGTACGTATCGTGCGTTACTTGTTAGCTTGTTAGCAACAGCTTTCAAGTCTGTAGCATGATAGATAGCCGATAAGAATAGCGCGTGCCCTGCAGGAAGGGCTTGGACGTTTGCCCGAAACGTTTCGCATCGATGAAACCAATCGATCGCAAGACTTCCTGCACGGATCTCGGTTTAAGGCCCGTTTGCATCGAAGACGAGAACGGCTAATTAGCTCGATGGTCTATCTAAACTGACTAGCTGATGATAGATTAGCGTTGATCCAGGTGGCCACGTTGGTTTCCCAACGAGTGACACGTCTCTCGTTTCGCTTGATGCACAGAAACACCACTATGGCTGCTTCTGCAAATAGCGCCGATAAAAAACGAACGGGACCTGGTGGTCCTGTTCCTCCTCACATTCCGGGACATCACCGCCCTGAAGCAGCCGATCGAGGCGGACGACACCAAAGGTGGCCTCTCGAAATTCGCCAAGCTCGCCAGATCGGTCACCAGGTCCAGGTCTGTTCTCGTCTCGCAGTTCAGCTCCCACCTGCCCGCCCTCAAGGATACCGCGATACCCACTACCGGGAAGCAGTCGCATTTAGCTCACGTAAGTGTATCGTCAAAGTTTGTTAGCCGAGGATCGAGGTGGCGCATAGAATCGAAGGCTGAAAATAAGACCAACTCGGGGAATATTTTCAGTCGTTCTCCTTATCCCATGGTACCTCTCGGGACAGTTCTGCTCGGTTTCAAACAGCCCCAGCCCCCCCTCAAAAGTCTCTCGACCGAAAGGGGATTCGAGTACGAAGCGTTGCAGGTCGATTTGTTACGCCCCAGGTGCAACCATTCGCATTCGAAATGATGCAGATTTAAGAACGATTTAGATTCTGTCCAAACTCGTTCACGTTCGCGACACAGATTTACGCGAAAGGTTTTGCGGAGGAATTTGTTGAATGCGCTAAACTTTAATTTTAACCTTTATTATTATTATACACCTCTACGTGATGTATAATAATAATAATAATAAAGTTAAAAGCAAGAGAAAAAGTTAACCAGTCGTAGAACTGCAGCACCGAGAGACCGCAATCGAAATCCGTAACATGATACCGTGCTTTTATTGGCCCTGTTTAGATGATGTCCTTAAGCGGCGACGTGATGCCGCAATACAGACAAGAGGCGCCCAAGACTCCGCCGCACATTTTGTTACATTACTGCGCGTTCAAGGCGATCTGGGATTGGATCATTTTGTGTTTGACCTTTTACACGGCCATCATGGTACCCTACAACGTCGCCTTCAAAAACAAGACCAGCGAGGACGTCTCCCTGTTGGTCGTCGACAGCATCGTCGACGTCATATTCTTCATCGACATCGTCCTCAATTTTCACACGACGTTCGTTGGTCCTGGCGGTGAAGTGGTGTCCGACCCAAAAGTAATTACAATTATAAAATCTAACCTTAACTTTAAACAGTAAACGAAACACTTGTCTTTTTTACCGTCTAATTTTCGAATTTTCGAAACGCAAATTGAAAAATTAAATTTATCGACATAAAAAAGAAAACAACAACAATTAAAAGAAAAAGTTTGTAAGGAGCACGTGTACCTTACAAACCTGACATATATCCCCGGAACACTGTACTTGCTAAGGAGCTCGAACGTGTGGGTTTCTAGGTGATCAGGATGAATTACCTAAAGTCGTGGTTCATCATCGACCTCCTCAGCTGTCTTCCGTACGACGTGTTCAACGCGTTTGACCACGACGAGGATGGAATCGGCAGCCTGTTCTCAGCCCTGAAGGTGGTACGCCTGTTACGGCTGGGTCGCGTGGTTCGCAAACTAGACCGGTATCTGGAGTATGGAGCCGCGATGCTCATTCTTCTGCTCTGTTTCTACATGTTGGTTGCTCACTGGCTGGCCTGTGTCTGGTACGTCACTTTAAGGTGATTTTACCCTGCCCACACACAAAAAGGTAACACAGCCTGCGGCAGGATTAACGGATAACCTCGACGTCATTGCATTTCCCGACGCAGCGTCGCATCACGTACAACAACACAGACTCACGCACACGAAACATGCCGTGCCGTTCAGGCCATCCCGCGCGCTCGTTCCGTTCGGTGATCAACAAATTTTTAACTCGATCAACCAATCAATCTTTTTTCCAGACAACCGCTTAATGCGCAAGGTAGATGCGCGGTTACCGTCTCGGTTACCAATTATGTATCGTGAGGATTTAGCGACGAATAATCCAAGATCGATGGTCCCCGATACGAACGAGATTGCTACAGCTTTTAGAATGGTAACGATGTTTGTTTGGGTTACTTAGTAACCAGCTGCGTGCAAGAATCGAGAGGATACTTGACCCGTAACACTGTTAAAACCAAGAAGAAACATTGCATCCGAGGCTGTCTAGTTCATTCAACACGCTTCTTAATTATTTTCGCTTCCTCGGTGCGAAGCAGCACGAACGAAGTAGCGCATAGCGTTAAGGCTGTCGTCGAGGACAAAAAGTTTCCTCGAGAACGAGAGAAACAAACAAATGCCCTTAGACGAAGCTAAAATTCCACTTGTGCCCCGAGAAAGCCCCCTTTCCTCTAGTCGTCGTCGTCGTCGTCGTCGTCGTCGTTGTCGTCGTCCACCCCCCGCCCCCTGCGCCGACAGATGGCGGTACGCAACGACAAAGAGTCGCGATCCTTTGCAAGAGACGCTGTAACATTTGAAATTGGCAAATCTCTGCGTTTCCAAAAATGCTACCTTTCGACTGTTAACATCGTAGCGACTGTGATCGCGAAGAATGCTAAAATGAATCTGCACGAGGAGCACGAAACAATTATAAATGCGAGCAGATGGAAACGAAGAGGGGGTTATTCCACGCTGAAGGGTCACTTTCCGCACTCGAGGATTTTAATGAAATTCCAAGAGTTACAATACCCGTTACTTTCACGCGAATTGTAACATATTACAATTTCGTTAAAATCCCTGACCTAAAAACGCGGAAACCGATCGATTGTAGGTAGCCCGGAATCGATAGCAATCAAACGCGAGGCGGCTTGACGACTAGCGAATAGAAAAAGCATGCCACCCCGTGCTTGTTTTCATGCATTTAGACACACCATCGTCCTTCGCTCTCTGATCTCGTGGCTGTGCACGCCCTGGGCAATTCCATCCACGTAAAAAGTGTTTCGTTGCGTTAAAGGTACTCGATAGGAAGGTCGGACGCTGACAACGGGGTCCAGTATTCCTGGCTGTGGAAGCTGGCGAACGTCACCCAGTCACCGTACAGCTACCTGTGGACCAATACCAGCACAGCGCCGGAACTCGTGGCTGGCCCGTCCAGGAGAACCATGTACGTCACCGCGTTATACTTCACGATGACCTGCATGACCTCCGTGGGCTTTGGAAACGTCGCCGCGGAGACCGACAACGAAAAGATCTTCACCATCTGCATGATGATCATCGCTGGTACGACTGTTCGCAAGCCTATTCGACTTAACCAGGTCTTTTCTCGCGAATATATCCTAGTAAAACCACTTCGTTGGTTCTCGATTTTTCGGAAACACGACTAAAAAAAACATCGCTATCCGCAGGATACAGCGATTACAAGCGGCGTACAAACGATTCGTTACTGTCCACAGCCCTGCTATACGCTACGATCTTTGGTCACGTCACCACGATAATCCAACAAATGACATCCGCCACCGCCAAGTACCACGACATGCTGAACAACGTGAGGGAGTTCATGAAGCTGCACGAGGTGCCGAAAGCCCTCAGCGAGCGGGTGATGGACTACGTCGTGAGCACCTGGGCGATGACCAAGGGCCTAGACACGGACAAAGTGCTCAACTACTGCCCCAAAGACATGAAAGCGGACATCTGTGTTCATCTAAACAGAAAGGTCTTCAACGAACATCCTGCGTTCAGGCAAGTTGACACCGTCGTTATTCTAACCTCGATCACCCTCCATCTGAACTTTGCCCACGACACCGCGACGCTCTACGACCAACAGTCCGCAATTGACCGACGGGTAATTCTATTTCAAACCCACAGGTTGGCCTCCGACGGTTGCCTGCGCGCGTTAGCAATGCATTTTACAATGTCGCACAGCGCTCCCGGCGATTTACTTTATCACACCGGGGAATCGATCGATTCCCTGTGCTTCATCGTGACCGGAAGCCTCGAAGTCATACAGGACGACGAGGTGGTGGCAATCCTTGGTAAGGGTGACGTGTTCGGGGATAGCTTCTGGACGAATCCGTCCGTAGGCCAGAGCGCAGCCAACGTTCGAGCTCTCACCTACTGCGATCTTCACACCATCAAGAGGGATCGACTGTTGGAGGTGCTGGATTTTTATCAAGCGTTCGCCAACTCCTTCGCCAGGAATCTCGTCCTAACGTACAATCTGAGCCATCGGGTGAGTCACTCTCCTCCAACTAGACTTCTCATTGTCAGTCTTCGTACGTCTGGGTAAATCTGTGTTGTGCGTAGATCAGTTTGATGTCGGCGATACGGCGGCGACCTGGGTGTTCTGATGTTGTATGTGTAGCTGTCGCTAGGTTTTGCGTTGTTGTACTTGACTCGAGTATAATTTTACGAGGCCCGCTAAGCCAGTGACGAACAACAGAGACGCGACGTATCCGCCAAGAAAATCTGGCAAGTGCGGCTATGGGGAACGAGTAGCACACAGGCCAAGTCCTACTGCACAGGCCAAGTTCTAACATTTTGGATGACACGGACAGACATAACACAAGTTGAATATTCGTAATTGTTAGCGTTAGGGAAAATAAGGATACTCGTCAAGGTTTCAGATCTTTATTGAACACCCAACGTACCGAGCAACAGTGCGATGTTTTTTCTTTGGTTCTATTGTTTCGACGAATGAAATCGACGCGCTCCCGCGACGATTCGTATAGGAATAACACACAGTCTTATAAGTATAACAAACAGTAATCCATGCTGTACAATATTTATCGGTAGACTTTGATCAGCGTATCGAGTACTTCGATTAAAAATGATTGATGACTCACCAGGCACTAGATAATAGGCATTCGAAAGACACGGTAACCGACGTGATATTTGCTCCGATATCACGATATACAGTGTTCGTTAAGTAGCATATATGGCATAAGAGTTTATACATATAAATGATTGGACGATTGGAAATGACGTTAGCACGAGGAAGATCAGGCCGTTACAGGGATGTGAACTTTTTTTTTTTTTTCCTTTTTTTTTCTCTTTAAATGTTGAGTAATAGCAAATAGAAAGGAACGTGTATAAGCTTGCAAAACGCTGGTTACAGATATGCCTGAGAAGACTTTCTTAATGATCGTTACGTTCGTATAATTCGTTCGAATCGTTATCGATATTTTCGTCATCTTGTCGAGACGATTCCACGCAAATTACGGAAGAATTGATACGATAATGACCGTTACACTGTTTTACGATAACTTTTCTTCTAACAAGCTATTATATTTTAAGTAGCCTGATATACAAATGTTTACATACCCCTAGTATAGAAGCAACTCTTCGATATCACAATTACTCTTTCTTTTCCCTCAGTCCTTCGCTATGCATTTTACGCCCAGACAATTCCAACATAACCTTAGAGGTAGGGTCCTGATCCAAAATCGATTTTGGATCTCGCACGTCCTCGTCCACCTCTGGGAGCGGACCTACGCCCCAAACTTCGCAATGTTTAATCTTAAAATTCTCCTTGCCACTGAGCTGCACATAATTTTGGAAGGTTGTACACGACAGGCTCGATTTGCCAGTTCCGTATTCGCTGTCCAACCACAATCCAGGATAATTGAGTTGTCCTCCCATAAGCAAACCATTAGGCATAGTTTGTTGGTGAAGGTTTAAATACTGATAATGGTTATTGTAACCCGTAGAGGAGAAAGTTAATATGTCTGGTTCGAGCTTGAACAAAAACGAAGATGGACTTCCTATAAAGTTTGGTCCAAGAGCCCAGCTATCGGACGCGAAACCACCAAACACGTGGTCTTCCGTGTCTTGAAGTATTATAATAGTGGATCCTTGCATGGTGATTCTTCCTAACATGGTAGAAAACGACTCTCCGTGTACTTGGCTCGAAAACAGAAATCTCCATTCCTTGCGAAGTTCGTGAGGCAAACTCAGATTCAGAAACAAAACATCTCCCAATCCCAAGATACTTGGAAAGTGAGGTATATTTTCCAAACCCTTGCACACTGGCAGAAGATTCAAATCGTTTATTCGACTGCTGGTATTCTTATCTCCTTTCTTCTGGGAGACTAAAAAAAGACACTGAAAGACGTGTGATTGTATCATTTTAAACGTAGCTGCTGTCGTAAACCAGTTTTCAACTTGATCGACGGTTAGCATCTCTCCATGTTTAACCAGATCTTCGCATAAACTTCTAGAGCGCATTCCTATTCGTCTAGTATTCACTGTACAACCAATGCTGCTCCAAGTCGAATAACAAGCATTACCAGAGTTCTTTTGTAGTCTCAAGGAAGAATTAATCGTCGCTTGAACATACTGAAGGAAGGTCGCTGTAGGTATTTCTTGCTTCGATTCCTCCTCAGAAAAGCCATCGAAGATCAAGCTTGTCCTTTCCTCTGGACTGCCACGAACGGCAAACACGTACAGACGACCAAAATTCTCACCGTTTATGGCAGAAACTCTCTTTCCTGGCTCGTGGCAAAGAAACCTCACCACAAATTGCAATAATATATCGTCTAAATGGCTCGACCAGTGTTTAAATATGTCCTCACGTTTTATAGACCCGGAACTTCGGGACATCGACTTGAACAAGTTCTCCACTAAGGTCAACTCGTCCGCGGATAATATATTCGCGGACGAAGCGGAACGACTCGAACCATGACCCATCTGGAACAATTTATTTCGCTCGATTGTGATTACAAAATCGATAATATCCAAGGGATCGCAAAGAAATTTTATTCGATACGAGTTCCATAAACATGTTCTACGAACATCGACGTTGAACGTACAGCTACTTTTTTTGTCATTTTTTTGTCATCCAGTTAGGCAAGACCGAATCCGTTTCATCGAATCGTGCCAATTTCTGAGAGAAAACTGATCACAAACCTTTTGAGCGCGAGAAGTACTCTTCACAGTAATCCATACACCTCGTCGTTTCCACGATTAAATTCCGATTCGAAATAAATTACGGCGGTGGAAGTACGCGCGAGGTCGCGTATCTTTTCTTAAAGTCGAATACGACGCATCCGAGACGAAGTTCCGACACGGAACTCGTCGACGGAACTGTCTCGGACCTTTTCTGATCCGGCGCGTTAAATAAAATATTTTGAGGTTAGTCGAGTGCAGGTTGTCTGCTACTTGTGCGTCGTGCGCCTACGCCTATCGACTGCTCTCATGTCGCATGCGCGACTGATAAGTAGGGGTGTACCGTCTGCCGTCCCGTGCATCTGCCCTATCACGTCTTTTCATCCGGAAAAACGAAACGACAAAGGACCGAAGTTTTTCCGGCGTTGACCGTTCGACTACCGAAAAAACTGTATCGATTTTAGCTATTGCTGCGTTCTACTATGGAACGACTCTATTCGATCGTAGAAATTTGCTGACGTTACCGTATCGTTTCTCGATAGAAAAATGGTTCGCGAAATAGGCGTTAACGAAGCTTGCGTCTGAAAGGAGAAAGTTTATTTCGTTGTTAGCAGCTTGATCGAGTAAAGGGGGAATCTCGAAAAGTCGACCAGCTTATTCGTGAATCGATCGGGGAAGAATTTTGTCGCTAGGAGAAACAAAATAGCATATCGTTTTTCTGTTACGATGAAACGAATAATCGTCACCTACATGGTAAGGGGCGGAAAACCGATAAAGGGTCCGCTGCGTTCCAGAGAACATTAATAATAGCAAAGAAGACACCCGAGGGCATAAATAATCATTCCGGGCCCCATAAATAAAGCCTCGTGGTTCGCTTGCAATTACGCCGTGCCGTTCACTCTAATTAGCGATCGATAATTCTAATTGTAATGCGCACCACGATAAACACCAAAGTACACACAATAATTCTGCGATGCTCATATACCGGAAACGTTCTGTGCAGCTAATATTCCGGAAGGTGGCCGATGTCCGTCGGGAAAAGGAGCTGGCCGAGAGGAGGAAAAACGAACCCCAGCTGGATCAAGCGCAAGATCACCTGGTGCGCAAAATTTTTTCGAGGTAGGGAGAAATTTGTTGGCATTGATCTCGAATGGATATCGTCGCGAATCCATTCCGTGTAATGACCACCGCTTCCCTCAACGGTCCTTTATCTTCGAACGCCTTGGATACCACGGAGAATAAACGTAACGATATATTACGAAAATGTTCAGGAATCATCCGCGATAATTTCAAACGAGAAACGAACTTGGTCGTATCGAGGTTTGAAGTTTTAGTAATTAATTTTTCAACGTCGTGTAGAACTCGGTCGACTCCTCTTTACGAGATTAATTTTATCGCGCAAGTATAATTATAATAATCGCAAGTATCGTCGACAGCTTTCGGGTTTAAATTGTTATCACAGTTTAAACGAAATCGAAACATTTCGAATCGGAGGAGAAATCGTGAAAGATGAAGGACCTTGAACGAAGCCAACAGGTGCAATATCTTGGACTAAATTTTGTTCTGTGTGCGCGCGTATTCCCGTGTTATTTTTCCCAAGCTGTATTGTCTGTCTGTCTGTCAACCGATCGCTTCGAACAGATCCCATTAGGTGATAGTTATTGGCAATAGAGATCCTATTGGTTGTGACGCCTTATAGTTACAAACTTGGGGGCAGAAAATATTGGCCGTTTAAGGCCGCTGCGTAGCGACGATATCGTTTAGACGTTGTGTCGCGCTTCATCGTAACAAAGGGACGGACCGAACGTGCGTGGAAATGGTAGTGGCCTTGAGCGGCCAGTTGTGTTCGACCATAGTTTAGACGCAGGATTCCCTTTTCTCTATTACTCGATGGACTATAAAAGGACGCAGACTCGGAACGTTGAGCAGCCACAGGCGCACAGGACTACGCGCGCACAAACGCCGTCAGGATGATTTAAGCGCGGTTACTAATTATTAACAGACTAACAATAACGATAAGGACGATGATGAATTAGCGAAGAAATGATGCGAAAGCAGAAGTGTGTCGTCAGCGGGCGATCCACGTCTCACAATACTTTCCTACCGTATCTCTGGTAAATTGTTGTTGATTGTTGATCGTTGCTTGGCTGGCCTGTTGTCCGTAAAGGTTCAAGACCGACGGGGAACCCCAGATTGGCGTAACCAGGGCCGCAAACGGACGGTCCCAGCAGGATTCCGACGAGGAGCTCACCGTGAACGTCCTGCCGCCCTGGCCCAGTTTTAGGCAATTTCATTTCTTACGTATTTATTTATCTTCTTCATTCTTTTTTAATTGCCATCTCTGCTACTTCTTACGTAAACACTCTTGATTATATCGATTTATTATTCTTCTTCTCATTATGATTATATTTAAACCATCGTTATTATTATTATTATTATTGTATATCGTTATATTTATTATTATTATTATTATTATTATTATTATTATTATTATTATTATTATTACTACTCTCAACTGTGATCTTACTATTACATATATATATATATATGTATATATAGTATGTATCTATGTATATACATATATAAATATACACACGAGTATCATGTACATGTATACCTGACTCGAACGCCTCGATTTCGTACGCGTATTTTTTTCCTTCGACTATATATCTATACATATCTATGCACAATCGAGATTTTTTTCCGGCGTCGATTTGTCGAATAGACTATTCGAGACGAACAATGACACAATCGCATCGTGGAATTTTTTGATCGCGTGTACGCGACCATTTTTCCTTCGTTCGTTCGATTTTCTCATTATTATACGCGCGCATCCGAGCGCCACGACACGCATCCCGAAAAGGTCGTCACACGTTCCAAGTGTATCACGGATATGCAATCGCTGTACACACGCTTGAAAGAGAAACCGATATACTTATATATATTATCATAGCACGTCCACGGAAATCATCCTGGGCGAACCGAGACTCGACGACCAAATCGAGCCAGAGATGGTCAACATTTTCCAAACGAAACAAACTTACAAAATGAAGTTATATTTCGCTTGAAATATCTTTACCGTGTACTCGTAGAAACGTCGCGAAAATATTTTCAAGTCTCGGTTTCACTCGTCATCTATTATTCGTGTAAAATTTTGCCTATCCTTGTTTCGTGGTTTTTCTTATCCCCGATAGTCTTTGATTTTCCCGACAATCCGAAAGAATTGATGTAAAATAAATCTATGACTCGATTTCCTCTAGCAGGAAAGCTCGTGTCTGTCGAAATCGAAACTCCTAACCTCGAAAGCATCGTGTGTCGATCGAACTCGATTCACCCAGGAACAGTGTCTCGACTCGACGAGATGCGTCTATACTCTACACACACCACCCGGTGCCATACACATTAATCTTTGCCATTTCTGGCGATCACTGCAGTTCTGACGAATGCTAGAGTGCTGTAAAATATACGGCTTTAGAGGGTTATGCGCATCTTTCTCCCACCACATATTTTTAGTGGAATCAGGATTGTATAGAGCGAACTCGTGGACTCCGTATCTCTTTCGCATTAGTCTTTTGTTAATTCAAGCTTCGAACCGCCTTTAACCGTCTCGTTCGAATATCGAAGCCGTGACGTTTTCTCGAAAAAAGAGAAACGGCATGAGTAATAATCGAAACTCTACGCTCGACAGATCGAAACGAGCGAATAATACGTCTCGATGCGAAAGAAATGCTCATAGTCCTCATTGCGCCTCGAGCATCCGATCCTTTTACGACTTTATGCAACGCCGAATGCATGTGACGTACACACTCTAGGATTCAAGTTTCTCTTTGTCACCTGACTTATGTATTTTTATACATATACATATACATATACATATACATATATACCGATGCCATAGTAGCTGCTTGAAAAACTGCCAGACTGCCAACGAACAAACGCGAAAACTGTGATTCGTGTCGCGTTAAATCGGTGAACATTTTTTTTTTTCTTTTTTCTTTTTAGAATCACGATCGTGGCATGTTGTATGCATGATAGATGCTTAGAATATCTCCTTAGACTTGATCGATTCACGTTTGGATCGAAAGGCGAACGGAGGCGATTGAAAATTTCTAAATCGAACTATTCCAGATTTAAACGAAAATATTCCACTTTAATAATAATCAGGCGGTATTAGTATCTGGTAACGGATGGGCAAATCGTGTCGGACTTGATATTAATAATACGATAGTTATCGTTGCAGTGCAATACAAGCAAGTCGTTTGTTTATCGTAAGGAAACTGATTTACCTGTCCATGTAAACGCGTTTCTGGAACGGATCGGTGGCACTCCCAATGTTGATCAGGCAGCTCGTCATCATCACAAACTGTACCATCAAATGCTGCGTCGATGAACTCCAATTGTGGCCGACTCTGCTTGCCAAGATGAAAACAAATGCCAAAAACGCAATTAATGAAATTCGATTCTTGGACACGCACTCGCGCACACACATGCGTATACAGACACACCAACACACATATACACAATAGGGAATGAATTAATCGCAGCGTAATCTTCGCGTCACGGTAACGAATAATAAATAAACGCGACTAGCCAGAGGCCAGTGGACGCCATTCCTCTCTTCGCGGGAAAAGTACTAGTGGTCGCGTAGCGCGTGGCTGAAAGGTTAGGTGGCGCGAATTTCAAATTAGATTTTTACATACATGGATACATGCAGTGCCGTCTTAGCATATGAGCACGAAACTAAGGGACCCTATGGTTATGTACGGTACGCGAAACACATTTGTGGCACGAGTACATACATTCGCGAAAGTGACGAATATACGTGGTCTTGAATCAGTATCTGTAAAAATTCAAACTTTTCGACGCACGTCAATCGTCACGTAAGAAATAGAAGTGAACATTTCACGCGAACGTAGAGAATAAATGTTGGTCGAAATCACCTAGTCCGTGAGCGTGCTCTCTTTACCTATTTACTCGGATTTGTTATTCCCGTTGCGCCATCTCGGGAGTCCCCGATGCAGAACCGTTAATTCAAAGTTGGATGCTTTCGCGAGTAGAGCCTGTAATTACGCCCCAAGGGCGGGGAGTTTCCAAGTCGGCCAATTCATCCTGAAAAGCATCGCGATAACGTGTCCCGACTTTCCATTAGAAGGAACAAGACGTGTTCTTCGATTGACCGAAACTCTCGTTAAAGAGACACGCTAGCGCGAAACCGGTCGTTACGGAAACAGTTTCCGAGGAAATTTTATTCGAACGAGTCGGTGGGAGGTGAGGGTTGCTCTATCCAGAACTTGGAAATCACGAGGCAGACACAACGGCTCACGATTCGGTTCATCGACGCCGCCCCGTTTTCCCGTATGTTTTATCGGCATTTTATCACCACTGAGAATACTTTTTTTCGAATCCCGTAGGCACACCAAAGTAGGTTGCTCGTGAACACACCGCTGGAGCTGTATCCCTTTTTCTAGCCTCAGTAGAACGAACTTGACTCATTTTGCCGCAACAATTATGTATTAAAAAAATATGATAGAAACACGTCTTTACCCACGTCCAAAGAGCTAAAGCTAAAGCAAAAGATGGAAAACAAAAAATGAAAAAAAAAAAAAAACAAAAAAATAGAACGTCGATACGTATGACGCAGAATGAATGCTCGCTGCGATCGGAGAGATTAAAAGGGAAAAGTTTCGCGCAAGCCCAAAGTGAAACTTTCGGAAAGTAATGTTTTCCTCCTATCCACGATTCGTACACCATGTATTTTAATCCCCTTTACTTGATTAATCGCCTAGCGAAACTGGCCTTTTGGACCCCGTAATTGTAAATAGCCCCTAACGGATCTCGGATCGGATACTAAACGCGAGTGTTCTCGCTCTGTACTTTTTTTTATCCAGGTTCCGTAGAGAGCGACACACTCCCGACGTGGAGAAGGGCGACGGGAAGGACGGCAAGGACGGCAAGGAAGGGGAGTCGTCGCATTCTAGAAAACTCTCCACAACGGAGGAGACCACTGCCGCTAAACCACGACCGGGAAAGTGGGGACGACTGTTAGGTAACGTCCGGTGTAATCGCTATAAATTATACTAGATTAACGGATTCAACTAGGTATAACTTTAAACTACGAGCATATATACGTATTTGTGATACCTTTGTCCTTTGGCGTCCTCAGCTGCTCTTCGATGGTGACGTATAGGCGCGTGAAAAATTCCCACTGGGAATACCACGCAGCCTCCAGCCTTTGTCTCGAACAATAGAACTGCATTCGGAAAAGTACCATCGATAGCCAATCGAATCCAATTGGATTCACGCTAAACTTTCAAGTTATTTTTGTTGTCGCGCAGGTAGCGCGAGTCTGGACTCTGGGAGCGAAACGGGGACTGGTACGGATACGTTCAAGAGGTCTTTGAGCGCGAGAGATGCGCGGCCAGGTTCGAGCGCCGGCAGCAACAAGGTGTTTCCAAAGTTTGGCAAGCTGAGCGGTACCATCGAAGAAGCCGGGGACACGGAAACCGCGAAGGATAGCCAACAGCAGCAACAGCTGCAGCTGCAGCAGCAGCAACAGCAACAGCAACAGACGGCGGCGGCCGACTCGAAGCAGTTGCAGCTTCGACGGCTGGAGAGCTACGACGACGGGCTGATCACCACGCAGCCGAGCCACGATCGCGAGATCCTGGCAGCGGTGCTGGAAGTGAAGGTGGACCTGAAATTAGAGGTGCAACGCGTGAATCAAAGACTAGCCAAGATCGAGGACATTCTCCAGACGCTGATGAATCGGTTGCCAGCGATCAGTCCGGCCCAGCCAAAGGTCACGTTCGCGAGCGGTACCAACGGTTCCGCTTCGAGCCAGCCAGGTCAAGCGCAGACCTCGTCCAGTTGCCAGCAGGGTTCTCAAGCGACGCAAACGTCGAGTAGCAGCGGGGTTAACGTCGAGCAGAAGGTAACGATAGCGACCGCAAGCGTGGCCACCATGGTCAGCGACGGGTACAGGGAGCAAGGCACCATCACGGAGCGAATCTCGAAGCCTCAGGAGCCGCACCATCACCATCACCATCATCACCATCAGTCGCAGCAGTCGGAGAGACTGAAGGACACCGAATACAAGAGCTCGTCGAGAGAGGTGAGCAAGGAGCTTCTCGAGAGGCTCGCGCAGGCGTCCACGTCCCGCGGTGACGACTCCACACCGTTGGGCCCGTTGATACTCAGAAAACGAAGGAGCAAGTCGCGGAACAAGGGCGCCGCGCCGCTGGCGCCGTTAGCCACGCAGCCCATCAGCCCGTCCGAGGCCACGGAGACCACGCAGATGCTCGAGTGCACCGACGACAGGGAGCCCAGCACCGCGGACAGGTCCGACAGAAAGAGACCACCGCCTAGACCCAGAGAGTACTTGTGAAAGTTCTTGCGGCTCCGGCCGGTTGTCTCGAGGCTCCTGCTCTGAGGAAAACACATGGCGGAACAACGAACCAGTCTTGGACTTGCCCCGCCGCGCCGTTAGGCTTCGGGGTATCGCTCGTCCAGGCTCCTAGTCCGCGGTCAACGCTGGAACAACGAACGAAGCCTTGGCATTGGAATCGTCTTGGAAGAAAGGCAAGTGTTTGCCTTTCGAACCAGTCGCAGGTACAATGAAGTACCTCGGCAGTTTTGGAACAGACGATACGCAATTCGAGCAAACGTTCCAGAGGGGTGCAGCTTCGAATCCATGGCACGCGATAAACAACCTAGTACCTCGGCGTTTTTGGTAAAGGTCACGGGCTTTTACGAACGCCACGGCAAGGGTGTACAAGGAAACGACCCCAGCACCTGTTTGGCGGTACATAAACGGAGGAACGGCCGAGTACCTTGGCTTTTTTGGAAGATTACATTCGTTCCGAGGAACGCGGAGAATACACAGAGGAGCGAATCCAAGTTCCTACTTTGCCGTAAACTACTTGGCGAAACGACGGAGCGCTTTAGCGGTTTCGGAAGAACGCACTCGGCCCGAGGAACGCCGCGGAGAAGTTTGCATTGGAAGGACGTAGGGGAAGTGGTCAAAGGCTGTACGGTGGAGGATGGCGCGCGCTACCGCTCAACAATTTTTAACGGCAATTTTACAAAGCTTTGGCATTCTAGTTACGGACGATCTTCCGATTTTACAGCGTGTTTTCGTATCGCTGTTCCATTCGTCCCGCGAGACGTCGACCGGGCTTGGATCGGACGAGAACGACCGCGACGTTCGGTTTCCGTCGCGTAACCTCCGTGACGTTCGGTTAGTACGTGCACCAAGTCCGTGAAGCACCGGGTTGGCTGATCGTATCAGACTTTTCGGCGGTTGGCACGGATTCACCGAAAGGAGAAACTCCCAGCGTTCGAGATCTTTGGTAGCACGGGGAAGGAACGAAGGTTGCATCCTTCGAACGGTGTTCTTCGAGTGTTCGAGCCAGCCAGCGCGGCAAACTCTTTCAACGAAGCGACGAAAATTCTTCACCCCACCCCCTTCCTTCCTCCGCCTATTCCTCTCGAGAGAAAAAAATCGATTAACCGTAAATAACTGTAATTTCACCGCCGTACGTTTTAAGAACGCTGCGCATTTCCGCTAAACCCGCTTCGCGAAATCTTCTGCGAGCTTTTACCGAAAGTCGTCGGTATACACGCGCGAAACGAACCCGGGACGGAGAAAAGTACTAGTACAATTTAAAGAAATTCTGTCGAAATGTAAAAAGAAAACCACAAAAAAAAACAAAATACGAAAAGCAAGCGTGGGGGAGCGACATTCATACCGGCGAGGAAACGCTCCCGGTGCTATCAACTTGGCATATTTTTGCATGGCCAAAAAAAAAAAAAAAAGTAAAAAAAGCGATAAACAAATGAAATTATTATCGTTGTTTAAGTGCTTGCGACGGCTTCTTCGAGACATCGAACGTAAAAACGAGAGTGTGCGTGTGAAAGAGCGAAAGAGCGAAAGAGCGAGAGAAAGAGAAACTATTCCAGAATACTCACGTTCTGCATAAAGTACCTACACACTCACACACTGTAATTGTAGGTTTACACGCATCTTAGGGGATCTCAGAGCTAGGTTCGTGAAGGCGCGGGATAGATGTTAAGTAACAAAGCAAATTAAACGGGGAAAGAAAAGTAAAAGGTTAGGAACGAGGGTGAAACGAAACGAAAGCGTCGATTGGGAAGGGGGTAACTGTCACAAACGACGGGATTTTACGCGTTTCCGGAAACGGTGTGAGAATGAAAGCACGCCGAAGGCTCGTAACAAAGAACGCAGAGTTGGCCCAACATTGGAAAAAAAAAGAAATCAAGATGCGTGGTAGCGTTGTTTGCCGCCGTTTGCTGCCACGTGTTGGCGCCACTAGTTCGCCGTCTGTTTTCGTGATTTTCGAAGATGGATACGCGACGATGCGAACGGCGATAAATAGCCTTTCGACTGTTCCGTCTCATTAAACCGCACCCGATAAAAATCGATTGTGACAGGAGGAAAATTCCATCGGGGAAAGAAATGTCTATCGAAGTTAACTCCGAGGAAAACGTAGTCTCGATTTTATCACCTTTGATTTCCGAGTTTCTAACTGTTTAGTATTTAAACGTTTTTATTGCTCTTATACGGCCTTCCAGAATGTCCCTTCTAGCAAACTACCTCCATTTTTGAAAACCATACAACTAGAGAAACTTTTTTGAAAGGCAATCGAGGCAACAGAAGTCCTCCCAAAAGTTCATTTTCATGGCATTTCTCCTTTCCCAGCGCTCTTCTTTCAGAAAGTATTCTCACCGATCTTTTTCGAGAAGACCTAGAGTAGAGTACGGAGCGATTCGATAACTGTCGGCAGCATCCGTATCTCGAGAAACGTGGGTGGTTGAGGGAAAAATCTAACCGACAAAACGTGCCTAGAAGACGCAGGTTACCTTTATTTATTTATTTTTTTTTTTTTTTCTGTTTAAAATCGATCAACGCGTTCGTCGTCGTGTCGATTTTTTCCACCACGATTTCGTGTACACATTCAAGTTTACGATGCGTTTCGAATTGCTCTGTGTCGCGACATATTACTGGAAGTCAATTTGACCCACGCCCACGCCTCGAGAAGTTGCGTTCCGTTTACGTGCGATCGAGACGACACCTGGGAGGGTGCACGCGTTTTCAGAGAATGCCATGTCCAGAGAAGGGCAACATTTTATTCGAATACTCGATAACGAATAAAATCAACGAATAGCGGTTTGTTCGATTGGAAAGTTAAATTTTGTTAACCTTCGATACAACTTTTGATTTTCGTTTATCTAGATAACAATTATGCCCATCTCTGCCCAAGGGACACGATTCGAGAACACTCTACTTTGTTACGTTGCGAACATGACCTAATCCCACGTACGATAGGTTACTCAGATTCGTTCCACTGGATCAGACAGATGGCTTTGTTCCTGCTAATCCTTTCCGGTCGACTTTTTCGCCCAATCTGCCAGTCGAACATAACATCGACGATATTCTTCTCTCTCGATCTTCAATTTCATTTATTTCTATCCTTGAAAATATCTAACTAATTGTGTTAACGTTAATTGTGCGCGCGCGCGCAGTTCTTCGCACCCACGGTTCGCGAATGGGCGATACCTCTCGGGTTTGCCAACACAATCGCTAAATCCTCGTTATCAGTCCACCACGGAACCGACCAGATATCACTTCGAATCGAGAACAAAAAGTGTAAATCGAGCCATTTGCCTCTCCAGTGAAAGCGATCGGCGCAATCCATTGTAAGTACACGGCATTCACGGAAGCCGAACAGCAATATTAGGTGTATATATCTTGTAACTACAGCGTGTATATACACATATACACATATACATATATATATACATATGTATTACATATATGTATATATATATATATGTATAGATATTCATATTATTATTGCGCGTGTTTCCTTGACAGCGCGTTTGCACCTACTAGGAATCGTCGAGCGATTCTTCCGTTTGTTTCTCGTATTTTCGGCGAGGTCGTTAAAAGAGAACAGAGGGAAAGAATTCGATAAAGACGCCTGAAAGACGGAATATTTGATTTAGGATTAGCGAGGCTAAATAACGAGTCCGTTTAGTTGTGTTGCCGCCGCCTCGAGAAAGAAGCCATTGAAACAATTCTGAAGGACAATCAAAGATGGAAAGTACTGATCTCACACGTAGTAGGATGAAGCAATTAATCGACTAAGGCTAGATATATTTCGTTAGCTTAAGCTTAAGACCTAGGCGACCGCGGCGATCAGCGAACATACCGGCAGCTTCGGGAATTTCATTTTCAACAGCGTGGACAAGACTTTTGAAAATAACAAATCGATCTAGGAGTCTCGATGATTCCACCGCGAACAGAACTGGAAGCTCGTCTCGAAACCTCGATAAATGCATACGGACGTTCCGTTCGTTGCATTCGGAGTCTGGTCTCCTTACTTACGGAAAGAATTAGGTGACGAATACGGAAATATTTGGTGTATTTTTCGAGTACGTACAGGAAACAACGAGAATTATCGAGACTTCGCTTCGATAAAACATCAGCTGTAAATCGAGATTCGTATAGGTCAAATACGCTCGAGTGCAAAGGAAAGAAAACAAAGGAAAGAAATAGACGAAGGGAAACAGGCAAACGCGCTGACATGGACTTCTATGCGTGTAAATATTATAAATATTAATAAGAGCGAATAAAACGAATGCCGCGAAGAAAAGAATGCGTGTGCGTGTGAAAGGTTCTTTGAAAGAGAGAGCAAATAGTTCTAATCTCATGTTACGCAAGAAAAGGTGGAAGAAAAAAAGAATTATCGAGCAGTTACGAGGACTTTGTTAATTAGGTTTTAGCGTGCGGAGACGATATAGCTGGCTCTATCGTAGTTTCTATACTTAACGAATGCGAAAGTTTAACATACCGTTGAAAAAAAAATGAAACAAAAAAAAACGTTTTTTCTAGCAGCTCAACAAGCCACCAAAGCGCGTCGATCGAGGTCTTGAAACGGTATGCGCCTGCTCCTTTTTAACGCTGAAAAAAAAAAAAAGAAACAGGTCGGTCAGCTTGCGATTCCAAGTAATTTACGCATAGAGATTGCGACCATTTTAGAGGATTAGACCGAATAAACGATCGATCGAGTAATTACCTTCCTCTGAATTACACACATTCCTTTGTACGTCCTTGCACGTTATTTTATACACCACCTGAACTAGACTCATTCTTGCGCTACCGATCCATTTAATCGTTGCGAATCGGCCAGATTGGACTTGACGGGAGATCGTAAATGGGTTTCGAGTCAGAGAATCGTAACAGTTCCAAATTTCAAATCTTCGCCGTACAGCAACACATAACCTCGTTTTGTTTAGTTCGAACGAAGCAACGATTCCAATTTATTCGTATCCTAAAGTACAAAGTTCAACGAGCTGAATTTTTCGACGGTCGACTCTGTACACCTCTGACTCGAAGCCTTTTAACTAATCTAGAGCAAGACCCAGCTACTTTCAGTAGCTGTCCAACTCTTGTTTTTTCTCGTGTCAAACGGTCCGTCTTTCTCGCTCAACATTTGGAATCGCAAGGAGATCCCTTCGCTCGGTTCCCTATCCAAGAGCTTCTCTTTTCGTGCGTGTTTTTTTCGTCCCCGTTGATCCGACTCTATCGACGACCGTAAGTCGACACCGTGCGTCTTTCCACAGCAACTAATTTTCGTCGAGAATATCAAAGACTGATCATTTTTTTGAATACTGGATACCCAAACTTGAAAACTAATTTTAAACGAGAATCATCCATCCTCGAACTTGACAGATGATCGTATTATGTATCGTTCGATCCGCTCGATAACTTTCATTTCGTTGCGCTAAGAGCAAAGTTACTTGCACAGAAGACTCTCAGAGAGCAGTTCTCGATCTTTTAATTAATTTACACGAAGATATTTGTCACGTTTATAGATAGATGTCGCGATACTCGATGTGTCGGTTGATAAAATAATACGCGCAATTATTTTTTCGATGGAGGCAGGGCCATTCATTTCTAGCGTTCGAGGAGAATAACCAAACGTAACCTCTTCTCCTTCTCGACGAGTCGCGCTAGGTGTCGCTAAAAAACATGGCGCGGTACAAGGTTGTAAGGAACTGAGTAAACAATTATAGCGCAAAGGGTTCTATACTCATAAATGATACCCTGTATAAATCGTGTCACGTTTTATTATGTATTCGAGGGCTAACCTCTTGCCAATACAATACCCTGCCGATGTTACATGGTTTGTTCGAGTGAACGAATTGAATGTTCGACTGACGGTCGTTGTCGAGTCGTTGGGGTCGAATTTCGTCGGCGCGGATATACTTACATACATATGCAGTATACAGACATGCATTTCTGCTGTCCGCGTCTCTGGCAATGCAACGACAAAACATTCACGTTTCCCATCGACAAACGGGCGGCTCGTTGTCGGCTGCGCGGAGTCGTGAGAACAGAAACACAAAATGGGATAAAAAAAAAAAAAAAAAAGAACATATAGCGGGATAAACATGTGATATTACGATTTTTTATATCAGCTACTTCGCAATAATAAATTATCATACGCAAAGGGAGAGGTGTCGCGACACGGGTCGTCGTCCTTGATTTATCGCCGAACACGATGTTAGACAATGATTTTTACAAAGGTTCTTCTCGTTTCCATTTTCGAATGTTTCCGCATAACGTAAACAATGCTCGATGTTCGTTGCAAGTAATTTGCTACGATCAACAATTGACAAACAAGTTGTCACGGAGACGGGCAGAATCTTTTTGTTCGCTTGCGCATTTTACGTTTCAAATGTTTCAAATCGACCATACGGCACAGTTTGCGTTCTCTTGCCGATTTTTTCTTTGTCTTAACGTCGATCGAAGCTTGCAACGCTTCGAATTAATTAGTCGGAATGAAAGCGAAAGAACCAAGTTGACCGAAGACTAGTAGATCGCGTGTTTCGCAATAGAACAAGGTGACGAGGCAAAGTAAGGAGAATTCGTTTATCAAATAAAAAAATTCACACGTGTACACACACGCATTGCGACGACGACAGTGATCGCTGTGACGATCGAAGAAGCCGTGATCGTACCGAATTTTTGGTGAAAATGGTTAAGAGAAGTCTATAGTAGCTGTCGAGCGGAATAACAAAGAAATAAAGAAAAATATATTATATTATATTATATTATTATTAGAAGGGGGGGAAATTTTGCTATAACTAAAACACTTCGTCCATTTTTCTATATGGGCAACTCGTTGCACTGTAATCAATCCTCGGCCTTGTAAATTCTGTCCTCGTCATTTCCGAAAACGCTCTTTGGTTATCGAGTGCCGCGAAGGATCAATCGAATTGAGGTTAGGATTCTAAACCAAGTCGGAGATAGACTCTGCGTGTTGACTTGCGAACTTGCGGACGAGTTAAGAATTTACAACTGAATTTAGATATAAGAATCCAATCGTGATAAAGTAAACGAATCATTTATCGGATACATATGATTCAGGGGATGAATTTTTATCTTACTTTACTCGATTTTAAGTTACGCGTTACGAAAATTATAGGAAAGAAGAGAGATATCTTCAAGAACTTGAAGAACTTGGTTTCGACCCCTGTTTAAAAAGTCAAAGGAAGAAGAACCTCGTAGCACTCGGTGGTCGGACGAGCTTCTTGTGAAACTCTCGTAAAAATCTGATCGTGCGATCTCGACGCGTGCCAGCGAAACGAAACACGACGAACAAAAAGAAATATATGCTGGTCATTTGCGTTGTTGTTCTCTCTATCAAGACTATTCAATCGACGATAAAACAGTGGAGATTTTTATCCGAAAGAATATGTCGTAAGGGTGGTGAGAGTATGATTTAAAAGTGCTACCGAAAGCTAGTTCGATTTTTAAGGGAAACTATTTGTATTCGTTTCAAAATATTTTTACGGTTGAAATTGCGAAAATTCCCTCGCAGATATCGCCACCGAATTCTCGTAAAGATAACATCGACTCCTAAACCAGTTGTTGATAGCATTTCTAAGAAAATATTTTTTCCGACTCCTTGTAGATCGCAAGGGAACTCTATCGATGAATAGGAATAAATATGTGCGATTTCATCGTGGATTGAAAAGTTTTGATAGTTAATCGGAGCGATCGTCGACGGCCGATCGGGGGAAAGGACATCCATAGGAAACCTGTCGAGAGTCTGTACCTCGGTTTCAAGTTAACCTCAAACCGTGCACATTGACTCGAGAAAGATTGTCGCTGTTCTATCAATCTGCTCGCCTAACTTGAAATATTCCGATACGGATCGGTTTTCTAGCTGGAATAATAATCGTAGAGTGGAAGTACCCTAACGTAAATAATACGAAAATAAAATAAAAAACGGTAATGTAATAAATGATTTTGGAATGTTCGAAAATAAAGTTAGCGATTTTACCGAAGCCGGGGCACAGACGCAAAGTTATAGCGAGTGTTGTGTTGAACGAACACACTTTAGCATTAAGCGTTAGATGACAAAAGAAAAAGAGTGCTCGACCACCGAAACGAAATTTCGATTTTCCGTGGTATTACGTTGCTAGTCTTCCCGTTTGTTTTCGAAACACGAACTGTAATAGGTTGGGAACAGCGATCGGAGGAGCGTTACGAACCGTCGTCAACGACCGCTCGAAAACATCGTCGAGAAGTCAAATTGTAGCATCGAACGAAGCCTGGCTAGAATACTCAAAAGAAAGCTGCTTTCGAACTTATAATAAAAAATGACTAAAACTTCACGTCAAGTTGTGGATTATTGCCTTCTGAAAACAATGCCTCTGGGAGTTATCTTGGAACGTCCAACTAACGTCGCCCTTGTGACGCCAGAAAGGTTGCATTACGAATTTATAACTAATAGAACACATTAGGCGACCGTAAATAACAAATTAAAAACATCGATACTCTCCCTGTGTTCGAACGCTGTAGCGCAACGTTGATATGCGGATGAATTAATCAATCGTTCACTTTGTTTTTTTTTTTTTTATTATATTATCTCTTTTAATTTTCCAGTGACTTATCAAATATTCTGTACATACAAAATATTAAAAGTGAAACCTAACGATAAGCGATCCAGTAAAAAAAAATAAAATCGACACAAAAATAATTCACGATGCGAAATGCAGTCCAGAAAAAGAGGAGCTAAATTTTGTGATCAGTCTATGCCCCTTAAAGAAACAAAATTCTAATAATCGATACTTAATTGTAATTAAAAAACTAACCAGTTATATTCGAAGATAAATTTTACGATAGGAAAAGCGTTTAGCGCGTTAAAAATATTTGGTATTTAACAGTGAGAAATATTTATTAAACGATAAATTGTAATTAAAATGTCGAATGGTGCATTACTCACAGAAGATAAGTACTAATGTTAACTACATTAATTAATTAACTAAAATTAATTTTTTTTTTTAAATGTAATAGTAAATATGTACAATGATAGATAATTCCTTATTCTTTCATTTTTGTTCTGTTCCTTATTTTGAAAATATTACACGAGAATGCAAAAAAAAAAAACTCAAAAATAAAAGCTTGGTTCCTCGATTCCTAGTTTTAAAATAGAAACGAATGTACGCCAGCGTGACGAAATCGAACAAACACAAAAATCTCATGGCATGCATCTGAAGGAAGACTATCGTTTCGGCAGGAAGCAGATTCACCAGACGGCGTTAAGATCGCTTAATAAGGAATAATAACGAATCAATCGCAGCGACGCGATTCTTAGACAGGTTTCTCCATTACGTGTATGTAGAAGCCGGGTTGCTTGACTTCATCGAGAGGCTTAAAGTCTCCGTAGATTGTGTGCTTCGCCCTGTAGTAGAACGCCTCGTCCAGCATGTTCGTGAACACATTCAGTCTATGGGGATAATAAGAGAGCCTAAACTCGCTGATGTGCTCTCCAATTTCGTCCTCGTGAGGGTCGTCTACGTTGATCATGTAGTCGAGGGTGACGATCGCTGGTTTCCCAGAGACGAACAACACCGATGGCTTGATAGTCGTCATGTGTTGGCTCTGCAACCAAACATTTTTCATTTAAAAGAATACGACGCGAAGGATGTTTGAAATTTACGTAAAAACATGTTAAAATTCTTTACACGGATAATAACTCGAACAGCTTACATTGTAATATATGCATTTTGGGGGTATGTTGCCAGTTTCGATTATGTAATCGTAATTTCTGTGATCGATCAACAGCAAACCTCCGGGTTTCACGCAACGCTCGAAATTTAATAGCGCTTGCCTGGAAATTTATAAATATTTGATGCTGTAATGACGTAACAAGAAATATTGCCGAAGGAATAGGGCTGGTCGTGCCTTTGGGTGCAAATTCTCAGCGCACAAGTATTACCTCTGTTCTCGTTGGTCGCCAAACGAGTCTGGCATGTGGGCGAAACTGTTCCCTAAGCAAATCACCGCATCGAAACCCTCTCCTAGCAGATGATGAATATCGTTCGGCAGGGTCAACCAATTCGCCTCTTCGATAACTGCGAGAAAGGAACGACAGAAAATAATAAGTAAAATTGATATCAGTTTAACAATAAAAACACATACTGGAAATATTCTATTATTCGAAAAAGAAAAAAATGTATCGATAATAGATAACGTTGGATCAATTTTCGAAAAGAAAAGAGAAGGCGAGGTTGTTATCGAAAGATTTCACAATGACTTCATTATCATCGTGCGGCTGCGCTACTCGCGGTTAACGATGAGTCCAATCCGATAACATACTCGTTAAGAGAAGAACTTACTAATGAAATTTTACAAAAAAAGTCATGACAAAGTTGAAGTTGAAGTTGAAGTTGTAGTTAAAGTTGCATTTACCCCAGTTATCGAAAGCCTGTTCCTTTCGACGTTGCCATCTGGCCTTCAGCGCATACTTGAGCATCTTGTCCGAAGCGTCGACGCTGACCACCTCGAAGCCTTCCTCGAGAAGCATTACCGAGTCTACGCCCGTGCCGCAGGCCACGTCTAGGATCCTATTGCACCCTTTTGCTCGTAGCAAACCCACCAGAAAATCTCGATAATTCTGGGTTCTTTGCTTCTTGTCGCCGATGAACACCTCCCAGACCTTGGCTGCTCTCCCATCCGCGTATTGGTCGCGAACACCCTCAGCTGCCGTACCAAGTGACCGAGTACGAAATACCGAATCCATCATTTCTTATTCTCTCGATCGAACGATCCTGAAACCGACGATATACGCACGTGAATCAACCTTAATCGAAATATTCGATTCCATTGGAAGATGCACGAGCAATGTTTGCGCAATTGTTTCGTTTGAATGGGTTATCGCGAAGAATAAGTCAGTTTTGACTTTGTAACAAAATTGCTTTTGTCGATAAGTTTATCAAATTTATGTCGAAAGGGATAGGTCAGTGACAGGTTGAAAGACGATTGTAACGAAAACATGAGATATTCAAAGTGATCTCGAAATTTGAAAAGAATTGAATTCCACTATCGGGTTACCCCCTCCAGGTCAAGGAACTTTGCGCAAACAACATTCTTGTATCTTTGATAGGTGAAAAAACGAAGCACGCGAATGTGTACACATACTTAGCCACCCTTCCACGATCTCTATAATGAAGGAAGACTAAGATGAATTCGATTAAAATGCTTCTGGATACGAATATAACGGTTCGAATTCTTCGGTTAACTCCTTTGATAAAGAGAAAAACATGTCAAAAATTGTGTGACTAAGATTAACAGATTTTCTGTACAATTTCTTATCTGTTATTTAAATGGTACGCAAATGTGTGATTAGATTATGACAAATGCCTTACGAAATCCCGATAGATGATGCAAAAAACCAAGTAGTTGGATCGAGACGAGATGTTGCATCAGATTCTGATTACAATCCTATACAAAATTTTCTTGCTTTTTAACAGATTTTCCATTTAGAAATTTCTAATTCGTCAACAAAGAATTGGTCAAAATAAAAAAATACATTATACCTGGCCTTTAAATTAGAAAACGACCGTTACACACACAAACACACACGTGCACTGCATAGGCAATCCAAACTTGGAGAATCAGGAGCTTTTTTGTACTTACACACTATTCCTTAGAAAGATTGTATTTTTCGGGAAATGAATATAATTGAAAAAACAATCGGAAACTGTGTTGTACCTGTTCAGTTTTTGGCTTCCGATACAACGGTAATAAAACTTTTGCACAAAACGATCGCACAATTTAATCAAGAATTATTAAAACTTTTTAATTGGAATTAAAAATGATGGAGAATCATACGAAATCAAAGGAAACCATAAACAGTTCCACGAGCAGTGCCAATTTGAAACTGCAGAGTTTACAAGCGTGCACGCATATAAAGGACACGAGGGTCGTACCATGTGATGAAACTTGCTATAGTTGACAAACATTCGTGACGCGGGAATATTCAAAAAAAATCTTCTGGCGAAGCATTTTCCTTGTATCGATAACTTTTTCTCGTGATAACCACGTGATATCATTATCGTTTTATCGTATTTCTTTTTATTATTTATCTTTACTCGATGTTACTTCAATTATTACTAGGATCTACGGCTCTAGTTTATCGGTTAAATAACGTAGTTTTTCATATAATTATTTCGTTATCATGGCATGTACTTCCTTAATCTAATAACGTGTTCCAAGTACATGTGTTCGTTGTCTTCAGTCAATTTGTCAAATTAAAACGATTATTCTACTATCAATAAATATACAACAGAGCAAGAAATAAATCGTTTATTTTTCAAACAATTTTTATGAAATACTTTTACCAAAAATCGAACGAAAAACGTCGAATTTTATTTATCAACACAGTTATTCGTTTACTATGTATAATCACAGTACCAGGAATTATGACGGTATATAAAAATACATTAGACTCATTTACGTCATCGACTCATGGGTTTGAACATCGTTCCAGAATGACTAGAAATCATTTTGGTTAAATAATATGTATAATCACAGTTTGTGGTGTAAAATTCTATAATTATTTTGTCAAAACAAATTACATAAGTGGCGTACTTATATCTAACCTTGACATATGCTACGAGTTTCTATAAACCTCGTCGATACCGAACGCCGATCAATGCATTTGTAATGTAAATTCTGTGGTCGTAAGTAAGCATACCTCGCGACACAGTATATTACGGTATAGATAGCTATGAATCCGAGAATAACAGATTCTGTACCAAACACTAATAGATCGGATTGTGCAGTTCAGCATTGTCATAGATTTGTTTTCGGTGCATGGAAGCAAATGTACAATGCGGTATATATATTTAACGAAATAAATCCACGTAAGAAAGAAACAAAATTGAACAAATCGATTATTCTCAGTATCGAAGAACAAAACAAGTTGAAGTACTAAGTTTTGATAGTATAAAAACAAAATTCCTCGTTACACTCATGTTCGTCCGCGAACGAGTAAGTCTGTGAAAATAAGGGCAGAGTCCAAGGCAAATGGTCAAACGTTTCTGACCGTTATACGATACAATGTTTTAGTCACAGAATAATCTTATGTAACAAAACAATTGGCAGAGACATAGTAAAATGGCAGTTCCTCGTAAATTATCTTCTCTTTTACTATTCACAACATTTTAATGCTCGAGAACTGTGCAATTCGAACGAATTGCGTCTATCTAAATCGTTAATTCGAGAATCTCTATAGCTACGATTACTTTCGTAATCTAGTAATACGGTACAAAAGACATTTGTATTCGCCGTACAATTGATTTTGTCTTATTCCTCATCGTTTCTTTTTGGCATTTGCATCAGGATCTTTCTTCTCTAGTTATAGAAAAACGAAGTAATTAACGCTGCTTTTCTGCCTACGACATTGAAGTACATATAAATATTTAGAATTATTCTGCTAAATCGATTAAACTTTATTCGTTAGCAATATACATATTCATTTACTTTTATGCTTAAGTGAAAACTTAGTGCTCGTGGATTAGACGAAGAATGCTTGACATCTTTGGAAGAAAATGAAAGTTCCGCCTTGCGAACGAGTCTTGGTAATGTCATTATAATTTGGGGTTGTGCACGAAAATTCATTTCTTAAACGTGCAATAGTTCATTTTTAACACTAACAAGGTTCAATTAATTTTTTTCTTTGAGACTATGTAATGACTGGTTGTGTGTCGAATTGTATCACTTTTCTCATTCGCAGTAACTTCTTTTTTTTTTTCTTAAACTTCTGCTCTGCACCCTTACAAAAGGTCCTACCCTCATATATTTTTCAAGTCATCTGGTAAGTCATTCTTAGGGTGCTTGTTTTCAAAGTGTTGCTTGTAAGTCTTTGGGTCTGGCATCTGTGCCTACAAACACATCAAACATTAAACATTACGTTTATAGCTACAATTGAATTTAAATAGACCCTTAAGTACGCTCACCTTGCACACCAAGCATACGTGTACTAAAGCTTTTTGAGCTGCCTTTTTTTGGTCAGTGGCACTGTGTCCCTGCTGTTTCTTTGCCTTTGCAGCTTTTTCCGCAGCTTTAGCCTGCGATTGAATCTTTTGCTGACCACGAGCCATTCTGAAAATGATAAAGCAATAATAATTAATTAACGAAAGTATCCTTCCAAATAAATAATTCTAGATATCTGATGCAGTCGAAATGTTGCAGTTGAAATGAGGAAAATTGAGAAAATATATATATATATATAAATACATCAAAGTCCCATAGAAGTACCAATTTAGCATTTTATTATCAGAGATACACGATCGTTACCTGCGAATTTATCTCCTGAAACGAAATAACGTAAGTGTTCGAAAAACCAAGATAACCCGTGAAACAAGGCAGCATGATTATTCGAAATAATATTTCAAACGTGAACGAAACATTATTTCGAAAGTGGCCAAGTCATCTTCGCACATCTTCGTTGGACTGCACAGTCCTCGTTCCTTTCTCTTTAACAGACTATCATTACGTACTTTCCCTTCTATTCGGATTACTCCGATATGTACCCAACCTATAAAAATCGGTGACCAAGATGCCAAAAGATTTGCTTCTCGTTACGTTATTATTAGGTACATTTCGAGCAAATCGTAGCAGTCATTTACCGCCAGGATCGCGTTCGTGAGAGAAATTCCGAGACAGTATGTCAGAAAAATGAACGAAAGAAACGGTTAGCGAAGAGTGGATCGCTCACCTGTCCGAGAATGAACGTATTCAAACGTAAGAATTCCTTGCCACCTCGATGATCCGGGGCTCGATTTTCCGCAACCACGAGCAGAGCAATTTTATTGGTTTTATATGACTCTGCGCGATCGAGAATCGTTGTGATAAATTGATTTTTAAAAAGAGAAACGAATTCGCTTAAAATTATTGGTGAGCAGTGCTGAGTGCTGACGGCACATCTGTTGGGAGTTGGGACGAGCAACGAGCACTCAAGCAGTCTTCGATCATCCGCGTGTGAAGTACTTCCCCCGGACGAGGAACCGTCGCTTATAATATACAGCAGAAGAAAAATTTAAATGATTATTCAGTCAGATGCGATCGCGACCAATCACTCAAAAATTGTTCTATTTTAGTTTCTCGATCGCCCGACGCTCGACGGTTTCGTTGGGATTGAAATTGTTTTTAATCGATATTTAAATATTAAGGCTTTTAGGTTCAGTGACCGCATTTTTGAATCGCGAAAAGTATGTATACATATACGTGCTTCGCGTGTATAGGACCGCAGCTTGTATGCTATTGGTTGGGAGTTGGGACACTCTTTCAATGAAAAAGTCCTAGGGTATTTCAGGAAAGACCACTAGATCCAAAGGGGCATCCAGAAAAGCCATTGCTTTCTGTGAGCTGTTCTGTGAGCGGGTAACCTTATAAAATTGTACAATTACGAACGCATAATTCAGCTTTCGTAAAATTACTAAATAATATTTTATATTTTGCTTACAATAATTAATTTCGTTTACAATCACTTGGAATAAGTAAATATAAATTCCGTTTACATACTCTACAACGTGGAAATGAGACCATCTCAACCATTTTGGGTCTGAGACTATCTTCTTCTCCGTCTAGGGATTTTACGTTCTACGATTTAATGCGTCTTTAACTATCATCCATCTATTCATTGTTTGAATCTTCTTTTCAAAAAAATACTCAATTAGTTGATATCGATGACAAGTGCGTTACGTACAAATAGATGTACATATGTGCATATAAGTTATGCATATTTTTCAGCGTTACAAATTTTCTACTACGCCCCTTACTTTGGAAAACATTAATTCAAAGTATGAATTAAAAAATAACAAATAAATAGTACGCGAATGTAATAGCATTTAATTGCAGTTTATAATCATTATTTCGGAACTTTCAGTTCGTTTACTTTTTATTTACTACTAGTTATCGACACGATCGTAAGTCGTAAACTGAAAATACAATACAAATATCCGTGCTACATACACCAAAGGTAGAATTCGTATCCAATAAGGTATCTTTATTTACAAAGTAAATCCATCGTTATATGCGATCGACTACGCGCAATACAAGACGAGAAACGAATAACTGCTCTTCTACATTGTTGCTGCGTATTTTAAGTTTTTATAAAAACGAAAACTATGCATGCTTCGAAACGATTAATTTCGTTAAATTGCCGACGAACGTAGAACTCTATTATATTGTCTATATCGCTACCATTCTAGAGTACTCCATTGAATGTTAAATTAATTTTATTGAATAATAATACGTAGGACGCTTTATAAAATGGTTACCAGTGTCTAGATATTCATTGCTGTGTATGGTACTACCTTTAGTATCGATAACGGGGTTGTATAGCTTGTTAAGCACATCAATATTACCATTAGAGAATCTATTAAGTGGTGTTGTAAACTTGATTTCAAACTCGACATGTTCGTCAAAAATGTTTATAACAAACATTTTAAGATATCTAACGTAACAACGCGAGTCAAGTCACAAAACGCCTCTATCATTTTCAATATAGTTTCATTTTAATCCCAAACTAAAAAACGATATACACAATATACACAATATCTGTATATGTATATACAGGTAAATAAATAAACCTTCACACGCACGACGAAAACGAAGTATAGTATTACGTTTCCAGAGTATCCGGTATTGTACGTTCATTGACTTTTCCACCGTACAAAAGAAAAAACATATTTCGCAAATACAAATTCGAACAATGCTACCTATTTTTTTCTTCTTGAATCGTATGATACGCGTAAAATTACACACATCGTTGATATACACTTTGGAAACAAATTTCAATCCTCTCTTATTTTCTAGAGAAAATGATACCTTACGTTTTATCTAAGCACATTACTGTAATCAAAAAAAAGGTATGCATTTAGTCGAGAAATTAGAACTGATGAAACTGCTAGACATAGATACGTGTGTATATAAATGTATACAAAGAATTTGTTACATGGAAGATTACACAGTCGTAGTCGCTACTTCTTACGTACGTCAAGTTCTTGTCGTTCTCTTTTGACGAAAGAAAAATATTAACGAATTTCTTTACAACTGTAAGTTCTTTTTTTTTTTCTTTTTTTTTCAAAAAATAAAGAGTAAATCATGTGCCTTAGTAATAGAATTCTAATTCGTACACTGACGTTAGTGCTTCGTTACACTCTGTGCATGTAAGTTGTGATCGCTACTTCTACCTAACAATGGAATATTATTTATACACGTCTGATAAATATATCCAAATGATGTAACTCGTATTATATAAAATGCTGTAATGCAATTGCAAAATTGAAATATATACTCGTTAAATAACATTAAATTAACGTGAAATAAATTATTTTACACCCGATGAAAGTCCTTGCTAATCTCTAATCTGTGCTATACACGTCTACTTCTAAGTACAAATATACATCTACATTTCGATAAAATCAATGTTCAACATTAGAAAATATAAACAACAGTACTTTAGTTATAACATAAAACAATGAAAAAAGTTAAGTTAAACAACATTACAATCAGGGCCATCGCTCGAGTTATGATGTTAAATATACTTTGTTTATTTGTAGACCAGAGAACTCGTCAATAATTTTCCGAGTCACTATTTTATCAATTCTATATGGAAAGCTGCGCCCAGATATTATAAATCGTATTTTTCTTTACTGATTTTTGTTTCTTTACTTCTCATCGCAGCGCTCCGAATAAGGAGGCAATCGAGTGTTACGTATCGTTCACTTTCACGATAAACCAGCCCTGGTTATAAACCTTAAATGCATATCACGATTATATTTCCTAACCGTTCCTACAATTATGTTTAACCATGAATAAACAGTGCTCGATGCTTCGTTAGAAACATTCCATTACCGTACAAAGAAATATTAATAGAACCAATTGATACCAAATATGTGCTTCAAATTTACAGTTATATATATATATACAAAATTTTTGAAAGAGAAAGAATAAAGTTCGATGTTAACGAAAAGTGTAATTAATGTCAGAAGAAAGAGTAACGCGTACACCACATTTACTATTCTGATACTCTGGCAGTGTAAAGGTAGCAACCGACAATCTACCATTTGGTTATAATTCCAGAAAGCAAATTACATATCTCGTAATCCCAAATAAGAACGGGTAACAAATTTTCACTCTGTAACTTAATTACTTTTTATGATTAATTCGTATTACTAGCCAGCAATAAATAGCGTTAACAGCTTTTATAAACATTATACATTCGAAACTGTCCCACATCTATAGAGATCGCTAAACATATGAAAATTAATAACTTTTGTCTGGATAATTCATCGCGATTGCATATGTCGGAATTAAACTGCACAAGCTGTGGCTCGTTGGCAAGCTATTTATGTATCGATAAGTATGAATACCAACAGAGTTCCAATATTATTTACTTCTATGTTTATTTGTATGCCCCATACATCGGCATTTTTAATTACCTAGCGAGTTCCACAGAATATTCCAAGTTCATTCTTTATACTCTTTGATGACAACAGTCTATGCGTACACGATAACTGAACAGATGAACATGTAATAGTTGCCAAGAGTGCTAGGAGATGTTATGAAAAATATATTTGGGTATAAAAACGAAACTACTTTACAAGTTCCACTGAAAGCAGGGCGTGATTTAAAAAAGAATACATATAGAGTTGAATTGATAATATCATCGACAGGAAATAGCACGAAGAAGAAACAACCGATCAGCGTAGATCTGGATTATCGTTAACTTGCTTTTTAATACGTAATAATACTGTCGTGTACCACTGATCCAATCGTGAGATCGAATCATATTCCTTAACCGCTTCTGTAAAACCTTCGAGGTGTTGTTCCTCGAGGTGTTCTATTAGTGTCTGAAATGGAAATCGAAACGTGTACCATTAAATCGCTCTTACGACCAATCACTTTTTCTATCGTAAAAGCTACCAAGAGCCAAGTAAAATTTCGTTTTAATAAATTTTAATTTATGATTTCCTATTTTTATCAGTGTATTTTGTAGAGTATAATTTTCTACGTCATACCTTTATCAATTTGTACTCCCTAGAGTCTTGGAATGCAGGATACTGTTCTTGATAACGTTCAATAGCATGTTGCGCATTCAATACATCAACGCATAGGTGACATAGCGCCGCTCGAAAGAAATATTCTTTCGCGCTATATTTCAATAGAGAGCTTTCTAAAGATGCAGAAGCAACCTACAGAACAAAAATGTGTAAAAAATATTATTCTGTTTATTTTATCAGGTAAACAAACAAGTAACATTGTAACTCACCTGTTCATAAATTTGTATAGCCTTATCATACTTTTCAAGTTGCGCGGCGTATTGCGCGACCTTCAAAAGACACTTATTGGCGGAAGAATTGCTTTCCTCTCCACGAAAGTAGTCAGCAGCTTGCTCGTAATGATTAACAGCTTGCTCGAGATCTACCGCATCGCTTTCATACATTTCGGCTATACTTTGATGATGCTTAGCCGCCATTGTAAACCGACCCATGTCGGTGTAAATCTCGATCGCCTTTAACAAGCAACTAATTGCCTCTGTAAATAAATTCAAATTTGAAAACAAATTATCGTTGTATGTACACAACAAGAGAGAGAGAGAGAGAGAGAGAGAGAGATAGCTGTGCAAATATAGTTATACCATTTGTATTAGATTTCTTAAAACAATTAGCAGCATCCACGTAATTACTGGCTGCATCGTGGCGACTGCCAGCTTTCAGATGTAACTCAGCGGCTTCTAAGAAAGCGCTTCCAGCAGAACTCCACTTCTTTGCCATCTTGAACATGTTTGCAGCGCGTTGATAACATTCTACAGCCTCCTCCACTTTTGAGGATCCTCTGCAATACAAAAATTAGATACATAGAAAAATTCAATTGTTTTCTTTTTCAAGAATTTTGGTTGGTCAGGGATACGAGTAAACTGTTCCAGCCTCTGTCATGGAATAGTACCTCTTAACCAGAATTGTTTATGTTGCTTGTATTTCTTTTAACTCTGAAATTATTGCAAAATATTTCCCAATATTTCTCTTACGTTCGAGTTCACCAAACAGAAACATGAGTCACGCAACCCTTAAACGATCGTAGAAATTACGAATACGAATACGATGGAAACACAAAGTAGAGAAACAGAATATGACAGACAACACGAAATGAAGTGTCGACGATGCAATCTTAATTTAGTTTTGACACGCTATAACATGACGGTATGGCAACTCATACATATATAGATATACACTCGTGTAAGAGTATATGCAATCTAACAGTCATCGTTACGAAAAAATATTGCTGAGAAAGAAAATATTTATCGATAAATAGAAATGACACGATGAGTAGGAAATTTGTCTAATTAGTGAATCGAAGTAACGCAAGTTACAGTGGTGCGTATAAGTGTCGGATACGTTGAAGCAAATCAATGTAGGGAACTTACCTGAACAGCGAACCAAAAAAGCCTTTGGTGCTGAGTTTCTTCTCGGCCTCGGCCAGCAGCTGCATCGCTTTCTGTTCGTTGTCAGCCATTGTTTCGCACTATCGTGACGCGCAACAACTTTTAATAAATGTCTCAAATCATGGACTTGAAACGAAAGTTCACCTCCCACGAATCGACGTCACTAAAGTCAATGAAAGTGAATCAAGTATCGTCCGCTGCAGGCTTGCCAACAGTTCGAGAGGGCGCGCATAAATTAAGCTACGTTCGCAATAACCCTTCGTCGTGTTCTTTTCTGATACTGAAATTTATCATTTCCGATTACTATTGGCTCTATTCGTAAATTTCTATCGATGTTTACTCGTAGCTCGTAATATACGACTTTTCGATCATCGATCGGTCTTTATAGGGTAAACCAAACGTGGAATCGCATTTCGAAGTTTCGAATTTGAACGTGGCTGGCGTTAACGGCGCCAAAAATCATTCTTGAAGCTTACTCGGAAAAATAAAAGGTTCGAGGTGGACAGTATTTTGATTTAACGAGAAAAGTTGAAGGAATCAAGGATGTCAGGCGTACACAGACAGGCGTTGGACTCGCTGCAGCCTGGCGCGCAAAATGCACTCGTCATCGGCATTATCATAAATAGCTTCAACATGAAAACTATCGATGCCGCCAGAACTAGGTGTACGAGTTTTATTCAGTTTTTTCTTTCAAAGGCACACGAACGATTAATTCGTGTAAAACTCCTGTCGAATATAGAGTTACCCGTGAATAAATAAAACGAATGTTTTTTTTTTTAGTCAATCATGGCGAACGAGGCGTATGGACATTCATGTTGCGCGATTCCAAGGAATATTCTATAAACGTGACCGTATGGGGGAGCGTACAATACGTGACAAAATTATCCTCGGAATTTCATATCGGCAGCGTAGGTTTGTACCTAATTATGGACATGGGTTTGATTTCCGTATAAAATTCACTTATTATAGATTTCAAAAATATATCATACTAAATATATTAAACTACAGAGGATCTACGGACTGGTTCGTGTGTAAAATCCATTTAATATTCATCCTTCGAGAAGTTAATAAATAAATCGTATTGAATTTAAATTTTTAAATACTATCTCTAGCGAACTCTTTTATCTTTGACTTAATTTTATATTAATTCACTTTCGATCTGAAACTATTAGCTTTCGATGAAATTCGACTTGCAGTGGAAGTGATCAATCCGAAAGTGATGGAGCGTCGTCCAGACGACAGAAATGAGCTTTTCGTGCCTTCTGCGACAAGCTCGTGCAGTTTGACGGTGAACGAGGGCAACGCGTTGGTGCAATCCCATGACGCACCAACACGTGCAATGTATGAACCGTTGCTGAGGCTCCCGATTAAGAACCCGACCGAGCTGCGAAGTCTGAAAAGCATATTTGAGAACCTGGAGACGCTGCGCGATCAATACGTTGACGTCTTGGTCGTCGTCACGTTTGTACGTTTCGAACGGATCGAGAAGTCGATCAAGCTACCGTTTATCGATCATAACAAATTTAACTGTATCGTACATTCTTTGTTTCTCCGAACGACTTGGACGCAAACGATGTATACTTTGCATGGCCAACAGGTTGGCGATATTCGTAACGTGATGACCCGAGACGGAAGGAACATAAAGTTCCGGAAGTTCGAAGTAACGGACGGGTCGACGGAAGACGTGGTGTCGTTCGTACTCTGGGACAACGAATGGATCGAAAGAGCAGCTTTCTGGGAGCCGAAACGGACTGTCCTTTTTCTCGCGGACGCCCGTATCGCGTATGATAATTTCATGAAGAAAACTGCCTTGTCCATAGGTCATACTTTAACAGAGATTTTATTTGTTGCACATTTTTTGTACATGAAATGAAAACGTAATATATAAGTAGCGTCGTTAATCGATTTCAGCTAGGAAGACAGTGATCACGGAAAATCCGGACGTGCCCCAAACGACAACTATAAGGAACTCGATAAAATATTATGATCTAGACACGATGTCTGGGAGCTCGTTCGCGCCGCCAAATCGTAACGATAGAATCAAATTACATCAGACTAAATTATAGAAAATTGTTTCTCTCATTCCTTTGTTCTTCTTTCCGTTAGCGGATACCATTACCATCGTGATGACCGTGCAAGATATCTCGAACAAATTGAACAAAAAACCGAAACAAGGAGAGAGAATCCAGTTTGCGACGATTTTGAAGGCCTACGTGCTTGACATAAACGTGGACAGCCTTAGTCCAAGAATAATATCCAAAAGATGGTTCGTTTCTTTTCTGTTTGTAACTTATATTCCTGGCTTGTTAAAAAAAGCACAAATCAATTTTTATCAATTTTCTTCATTTATGATACATAACACAAAATTAATCAGCGTCCTAGGCGGATGTCTGTGTTGTCCATAGAAAAACGTGCCACTATACATGGAACATGGTATCTTCAGTTAGATTTCTTAGTAACTAGATTGTTTAACGTTTTTGATCTTTTCGTTATTTGCAGCGCGTTATGCAAGAGAATCGTTCCCGACGATCAGGACTCGTGTATGGATCTCGAGTGTCCATCAGGCAACGGAACCCGTGCACCTATGAATACAAAAAGTTTCAATCTAAAGGTGAACCTGAAAGACGACACTGGATACCTTATTGGCTGCAAATTAACCGGTGACGCAGCTGAACGCGTTCTCGGTTGTACCACCACCGAGTTTCAGGTTGCCGCAGACCATTTTGCCTATCTCTGACGTTGACGCACGCAGCACAGTCTTAAACATTTTGTGAATTTCCCTAGGCAATGATACTTCCTCAACGTGAAGATTTAAAATGGAAATTTGCGTTGGAAAAATGCGACATCCGGTTGCACATACTCGGTCCAACGACCGACTTCCCGAATGCCGTGTACAATATTCTGTCGATCACTCGAAACGAAGAGGAAGACGATGGAACAGACGCGCTCAACGAGTGTCTCAACGCGAATTTTTAATTACTTTTCACAAATTACCATCGTTAAAAATTAACGAATATATCGTAACATTTTAGAACGACTCCATTGTTAAGGAAAGTTTTGTAATTATATGTTAATGTACAATAACGACAAGAGAAAAATAAATCTTTTAAATTAAATCTTTATTCTTGTTGAAATATTATACAGTTATATGTATAGGTAAGTGCCTACTTTTACGAATTCGCATTGTCGTACATGCGATCAGCTGATTACCCGGCAAATGGTAAACTATCAACAATCAACGTTGCATCATCGTTGAAACGTATCCTTTGCAAATCTGCGCTATTCTTTCGCATTTGTTATAGTTCTTTTAACCATTGGAGGAAAGGATGGAGGTAGACTATCTGAAAAAGGAAGATTCCGTAGAAATGATGAGGGAGTGTTTAAGAGAATTGACCTATATGGAAAGAAAGGAGCATCGTACGAAGGCGTTGAATAAAAGTCGCGTAGCTTTAGGTAATATAATTCCAGATGCGTCGTTTACGACGGAATTTGTTGTTGAAAAGGCGAAAGCGCTTAAAAAAAAGACGTTATCTGTTGAGGAGTACAAACAATTGCAAAACGCTCTTATACAGGTTAGAATTCCAAGTCAAATCAAAGAATAGAATAATATATTAAATAATAATAATAGTTTTTATTCTTTCACAGGACGAGGATAATGTCAAATCCTTTCTGAAAACAGACAATATTTTATTTGCTCTAGTACGTGACTTTTCCAGTAACGATCCAACTATTCAATTGTCAGCTATCGGTTGCTGTTGCAACTTAGCTCTTGGAAATGTTAAAGCGTGTACCTCGTTAGCCAAAAGCATTGCACCATATCTCATTACAGAATTAGATTGCTTAAATTATCCTTTACTGGTAAGTTACAAAGAAAATGATAAAAAGGATATTTCACAGGTGAATAGCAGAATTAATGTAACTGCATTGTTAGGAAGTTTGCGTGTGGACAGTGGGAAACTTAATTGCAGGGAGTAGCAAAGCATTTGAAGTTCTTCATGCGCAAGACTGTTTAAAATTCATTGTTTCCCTGATTCGCAATTGCGACATTACTATTCTCCCTTCTGTAGCATACACAGCTATGCACTATGTACGCGTCGGTTTTCAACAGATTTCGTAAGAATTATTCTAGTATGCCTATATTTTAATATTTCTACCGCTATTGTTAATCACACGAATATTTTTAGGGAGAATGAAATAATAGAACTCGTTAAGGTTGCTACAGAAAGAAACCTCTCGTTCGAAACTCCATATTTTATTTGGCTGCTTGCTTTGTTATCTTCGCGAGCGATATGTAATATTTATTTATATAAAACGATGCATTCGATAGTGGATTATCTATATCAGAATGCTACAAATAATATTACCACTGTAACAGAGGTATGCAGGCACTTTTAAATGATATTTGCCTATGTTTACATGTGTGGTATTAAAAGTTTTATTCTTTCGTTCAGATCACAGCATGCGTAAGGATATTGGCTAATACTATTTGCGAAACGTCCGGTCGTTTGGCAACCTTGTTTTTGGAAAATCCAAAGTACGCGCGATCGGATTTAGAAATATTATTAAATAATTTACTTTCGTGCCAATATGTACATGTTAGAAAAGAGACTTTGTGGTTAATAGGTAATTATAAACACTTTATTGTTAAATCAGGAAGTTAACTGTATCGGTAATGAACAGTAACGAATACTTCTCCCAGGCAACCTTTATAACCATAACTGCGCCAACGTTAAAAAAATTGTACAAGATATTATACCACGATTATCATCTTTAAAGCAAGCGGTCGTATCCACAACACAGCAAACTATGTTGGCAAATATAGACTTGCTCGACTGAACAGGTATGCCATGCTTTACTATATATATCGACTACAATATTTACATATATAACATTAACGGTAATTGTAAAATTCCCTTTCCAATTTCATGCCCTAAGAGAATTGTACAGTATTTTTCATACAAAAATATTAAAATTATCATTCTGTGTTACAAACTGCGTTTAAAATTGACGACTTGCAACACAATAAATTCGTTTCAATAATTCATTTTAACGGGAATAAATTGGCGTTCTATCCTCATGGAAGTACGTTCGTTCCTCGCTACATCTTCTATGCAAGGTACTTTGACTAAATTGAAGTAAATGTGACCCATGATATTGGCCGTCGGATGGTGAGCAGCTTTTAAACAGTTGTACAGCGCGTCGTCGCAGTCGCAATGCGACCTGTAAAATGGAACGATAAAATTTGACATAGGATTATACTTATAAAGGATTAAACGAATTTTTATTTTTCATACTTAGTATATAAGGAATAGTTGGTGAGATTGTATCGCGTTTGCTGTGCGCGAACTTTAACAGGGCAGAGGTCATGATTTCGACAGCAACTGAAACGCGAAGAAAATTTAATTACTAGAGGAAGTGTAAGTTTGCAGTAGCTAAAAGACTGCCTCGATTAATCGACGCGTGCTGACCTATCGATGTCTGCTTCCTGACCTAAATCATGATAATTCTCGGCAATGTCCCCCGTGCCGCACCACTTTGTTCCTGCAACAATAACATGGTATTATTTGAGACTTTTATTTAGATAAGAATGTTGTTTGATTCTAAGAATATTCACCTGGCAGAATGCCCGAAAGCAGAGATAAGGAGCTGCCCACTACACGGGTACCTCTGCTCAAAGTGCCAGACATAGAAGTGGCCAAAGCATCGCGTTGCACTCTGTCCAACAGATCGCATTGCTGCATTAGCTTCGTTATTTCCCTGAAAGATACCAGCTGTGGAATCGTCGTAGACGACAGGTTTCTCAAAACTGCGTTGGCCTGGTCTGGCTCGCTGTAACAACATCGCCTCTTACTTTCTCTAACACTATCGTGTTAACCGAATATATTACATTTTTAGACGAACGAATTAGCATTCTTGAAATAAACAGCGAGCTCAAGCCATCAGGCTCGAATCTCAAGCTTTATATGGAAACTTCCAAGATTTGGGATTTTTACATTAAGGTTGATCTTTGGCTTTTGCATTGGTATTAGTTTCCCTTGGTAAAAGCGGTTCTTTAAGAGCAATCTGTAAAATTGTAAAATTCGTTTCGAGTCGAATAAAATCACTCACTAGACTTCGATTAGGTTGCAGTCGTGCAGTTCGTTGTTGGTACCGATTTCCACCACCGCGATCGTCTGATCGTAATAATAGACCGCCGTTATTTCACCCTTGTCGAGGGAATTGATCCTCGGCGTGACACCATTCAACCCTTTGAACGTGTTCTTGAAGAAAATCGGCTGCTGCACGCTGGTGGAGCTTATCGCTACGACCAAGAGTAAAGTCCAGCTCCAGCAGCACATGTCGATCTACCAACGTTACAATAGAGAACACGTTTCCCGTTAAGCATTCGCGTAATCGTATTGTTTGTATCGTCGAGGATTCTCGTGACACGGAATTTGTTAGATCATCATTGCCAAGGTTTCCAGGAATCAGGGCAGGGCAAATTCGTCGCATCGTATAAAATTTTGTTTGAAAATGAGAGTGAATACGTAAAAATATATATTTTTTAACCCTCTTTGGATTTGGATTTTCCATTTGGATTTTATGCATATCCAATTTTTTGCTTTTTTAATAAATCCTAATCTATAATAATGTCTAAAAAGATATTTTTAAAAGAAGATTTCTAAAAAATTTTTTATACGTTTGTAACCGTTAAAACTGTTAAAAATGGCAAAATACTATATTTCTTAGAAAGGGCCCTTATCCCTCTCCTACGTCGTTATCGATCGCGATAGTGTGGTTATAAGCTCGAATCGATCTCTGTCACCTTGTATTGCGCTCGAAGAATTTCTTCTGCTCCTCTGATTTATTCAGAAAACCATTAACGCCGCGAATGTGTCGCTAGAAAAACATGATCGCCTTCGAAACTTCTTTCCACGGTAACGTAGACATTTTCCTCCATAACTTCGATCGCTCGATCGTTCTGAAACAAGGGCGCGAACAGAAAGTAACGACGCGAGTTCAGAAATGGAAACGAAAAACCATTAGAAAATTCCGTGTACGCGAACTGTGTATCTACATATGACTGGGTTGAACCGAAACGTAATGTTTAACGATTAGCGATCATAATTAGAACGCAAGACTAAACTTGTCTAATTTGTTTTCCTATCGGTTCGTATTACCAACTGCCTACCTTACTCTTTTTCTTATAGATAAGCAACCATACATTCAAGTTGAAAGTTAGCTTAAACTAATACCACAGTGAATGTACGTTTAGCGAATAAAAATACTTTCGACCTTTAGCGTACATAGTATACATCGTGTCGCAAGGATATGTTTACATAGGAAGATCTGCGGAGTACTCTAGTATCGATAAACTAGGGGGCCCCAAAAATCAGCGTTTTTGCAAACTCGTAGCTTCCATTTGCCTCTAATATGCGACGAATAATTAGAATAAAATATGAATCGGTTTAAAAAACGGAATAACTAATGAAACTTGTCTTCTGTTACAAACAAAGGGTAAGTCATACCTGAAACCGGACTTGGCCATCCAAGGTTGTTCTCGACGGTTTGTTTGTTTATTTTCCCGAGGCGGCAACGGCAACCGAACGCACAAAACTGTCGAAACGTGTTTGGAAGCGTTAACGATAACCACGCAGCGAATATTTTCCTTAAGCGTCCATACGTGGTGTCCCTGTGAACGCTGCGGCTTGTGCATCTATAATGCACACCCGGCGTCTTGGGAACTTGATCGTTCGCGCACCTATCGAACCGAGACCGAGACCGCGTACGTAACTCGAGAGACCCCCAAAAGAGCGACTGGACTGAAACTGAAGTCTGAACTTGAATCACCGAAAAGCACCATGGCTCGTGTGGTCGAATGTGGCGGGAATGACGTTCGCTCCCCACCGTATCAATGCGTTTGAAACTTATCGAACGCTATACGACTTGGATGATACACCTGGTTCGCGAATCCCCACCGTTCGCTTTGACTTTATCACGACGTTACATGGTATTACTCTTGCGAAGATGAGTACAAGACTGATTGTGAGACACGACATCGGGGGGACCCACATTCAGGAGACTAGGACGAAGAAAGTGGGACGAAGCGTAGAGGATTGTGCGACTAGCGCGCGCATCGTTAACTCGTCCGGAATGCCTTTGTTTGTCTCGATGGTAACCGAGAGAAATTTCGACGGGTCTGAATTTCATCCTAACGCGAAGGTCGGTAACCTATGACTCGCGGAGTCGAACGAATATAATATTTTAACTTTCATCCAACGGATCTGTACGCCATCCTGTCGTTTAGCCATCCTTGCGGGTGAACAACCTGCCACCTGCACGAGGCGGCCCATCGTTTATAATATATTATATTCCAGACCAGAGCTTATAGGAGCTTACAGCTTATAGCTTATAAAATAGAAACTTTTAATAACTTTTAGTAACGAGTGTCGACGAAAATAGTCGAAGCACGACACAAGGAATAAGTATTGTATTATAAATAATAAGCTACTATATCTATGAAATTGTTTGGTAAACTGCTAAGAAGTAAATGTTTATAAATGATACGAGTTCGAATTAAAATATTTTCTATTGTATATATAGATAATAATTTATTACCCCGAATTTGTATCGTTTCAAAGATAAAGCAGGACCGAAATAAGTAAATTTCGACAACGATTCGCGCTCTCGAAAGTCTTCTTCGTTCGTTCTAGAATTTTTAACGTTGCAATTCGAAACTTTATCGCTCGACGATAGCGTGTACACGCTGAATAACTGTAACGCGAACAATTTTTACATAAGTAAGGTCGAAGTTCCGCGATAAAAGTTGACGTACGCGACGCAGGAACGGAATTTTCGTTCGTTTCAAGACTGACTGGACTTTAAAGGCTGCTGCTCGTGGGACGATGGACTCGGCTTCGAAGCAGCGTTCACCGGATACTGGTTTCCGATTCGAGTCGTACTCAATGTGATGCTAATAGGCGTTGCATTTGAAAGTTGCTGGCGAACTGGGCACTGACGATACCCTGGAATTGTAAATTCGTGAAAACTTACGACAAAACTAATTGCAATTAAAGTTTACAGGGTCATAGAGTCGCTCGAAGAATCGTAAACGTTGCCGAGAACGAAAACGTCTAGTCCAACCGTGGAAAAATTCTTTCGTATAACCGGGGAACAACCATAATCCCAGTTGCACGACGGAGGGCATTACCAGCGTGATGGGGGCCGAAACAGTGACAGCAAATGGGATTATTGCGAGGCCGGGGACAAAACTCGACGCTGTGCGGTTCTCCACAGCGAACGCAGCGTGGCAAGTGTCTGCAGTTGGCAGCCATGTGCCAGAAGCCCTGGCATCGGTAGCATTGGAGAACCCCGTCCCCTGTCTGAAGATTCGTCGACTCGAGGAGATTACCGACCATTCCTGGGCCAGCTTGCAGCGATCCACCGACGCTTCCGGTCGCTCCACGGCACCAGCGTTCCGGAATCACGCCAAATCGAGCCGCGCCGAAAAAGTCCAAGCCTTGACGTAACAGCAGCTCGTAATGTCCAGCGTCGAGTACCTACGAAGAATATTTAAACAAATGAAATTAAAATCACGCTCAAAGAAATGTTTTCGCCCGAAGACAAATGTTTTGCACCTGCGGTATAGATTACCTCTACACGGATGTATTGTCGCCAGCGTTCGACGCTTCCGGTCGCGATTCCCTGCTTCGACAACGCGGAGTTTATATCCTGCAACGGAATGGCCCAGGGTACGTCGCGCAAGAGAACAGCTTGCCTGTAGCGAGAGTCCTTCGCTGAGAATCGGGCCACCTGATGCAATGGGAATTACGCTGATCACTAATCAGCAGTTGGCAAAATTCTTATCTAGATCAAGAGTTTTGGTAACGAATAAAATAAAGATGTAAGCTTAGGGTTGTAGCCTAAGGAACGTAACCTAAAGGAAAATATGTTCCCCGACGTCTACGAATCAACAAACAGGTAGATTCAATCGTCGTGAAACACAGAATGGGGGGAAAAATTGGCGCGCTTATACGGAAGACGTTACACATCGAACATTCTCCGCGCGCCAAAAGATCCAGCGGAGCGTTGTGCAAGTTTGGTTATCTGTAGCTTTCATTTCCAGACTTCTTGCGTAAGAGAAAGCGACGTGGAAAACGTAGACGTTCGTTGCGCGAAACGCGATGCTGTATTTCATAATGTCCGTTATTTTCCTAGGTTATCCAAGATGCAAGAAAGTTACTCGATTTGGAAAGGGAAATGTAGTAGTGAAACTGATTCGGATCCGGTTCAAGGCTTCAAGGATGACGCGACGCGACAGCGTCCTCGCGCGCCGATTCGAATATTTTCCAGTTTATACCTCAGGCCAAATCCTGACCGAGTTTGTTTTACGGTTAAATCTGACAATAACGGTGACGCGAGAATCAACTTTATTCGCTTTAGTTTTTAATCGACTAATTTATCAACGTATAGAAATACTTGTACTGGTCCATCAAAAACTCGCGCCAAATCTCCCCGTTGTAGGAGCTTCTCGGCATCTGCTTCGCGCGCGAACGCTGCGATGAGACCGCAAGGTGTTTCAGACACGTGCCATGCTGCCAAAGGATCGGATGCACGGATCACTTCTTCTAGATTTGAGCGCACCAATTCGCCACCTGATGTAATTTATGTCTCTACTACAATATAGCAATTCAAGAACCAGGACTCTGCCCAAGATGTGAAAGGCACCGTCGTAAACAATTTCACGTTTAGAAAAGATACGGAAAAGTATTATATTAGCGCATAAGTCTGGTCTATGGATTCTCTAATGCAGTGGCTATCAATTTTTACACGTATAGATGTACTATGCGTGCCGGAATTTAGCTGTACAGGACCAACTTTTGCGTTTACAAATTATTTCGTCACGAGTTACATATTAATCGAATACGTCGCGCAACGCAAGAGTCGAAGAACGTTGCAAAAAAAAAGTAGCTCTTTCGGACACAAAGGAAGAAGAAAGTTTTCAGAACAGATCACCGAGGCAATAAACTCTGATTACGTCAGTCGCGGCCAATGGTGCAGCGCCTTACGTGACTTTGTCTCCTCTACCCGTCGCGTCGTATCGTATTTAAATAGGTCACGCGCTAGGTTCGTCCAAGTACTCGGAAAACAGCTCGGTTTTATTACAAATTCTGCTCCATTTGAATTTCAAGTACACAACTGGACGACTCTAGCGCATGAAAGGTGTGACTAGCATGGTATCGACTAGTATTCGTACATGAAGATAGACAAAATGTGTGTCGAAACAAATTATGAAAAACGTACAGCATCCAAATCTTTAGTCAACAAGTAACGAATCAATGGTCAGAAGTGAATTTTCCATTTGTTATGTTGTTCAAAAGTTTGTTTGTCCTGTCGAATATTACTGAAATAGAAGCAGAGAAGAAACAGAGAAAGCTATTTTCCTTCTTGTCTAACTTTGGGTTTGAGACTACATAATTCCATAGTCCCATCGAGGAGATGAAAGTCCGTAAGATTCGAGTACATATTATGCAGTTTGTGGCACGGTAGAGCTTATGCAATCAGAAGATTCGCTAAGTAAAGAAACAGGCAATTTGCCACCTTGCGTTTCTTGCACTTGGCCTTGCGGGCCTACGCCGACGGCACGCGAGATGTAGAGGGAGCACGTGAACTCTTCCTGACCGGAAACACGTGTTCCACTGTCGCAGACATCGTCCGACGTGTTTAGCGCCGCGATCACGGTCTGCATCGTCGCCTCGACCTTTTTATCCTCGTCAGGGGGTTCCTCCTCCATCCTGTGCACTTTGTGCACCATCCAACCAACCCCTGCAAGTCAAAGAAAAAGGTTACTTGTATGTCTTAAATATGCGATCTATACATTTCAGTGAACGACGAACGTTTCGTGAGAAAATACAGAATAGAACGTATGAAAGCGTCTCGATAGATGGGAGCTTCTCCACGAGCTAGAAATCTTGGGAAACCAGATATGTACTCTGCTAGTAACCGATTAACCAGTTTACTATCCAGATAATAGTTAGTAGTGTGTACTATTATAGCGATGATATTGTAGCAACGTGTATATGTATACAAATCCTAATTGATTAAACCAAGGCCCCCGTATTACCTAGGCACGGTCCTGGAACAAGGTGCTGGTGGTCGATAACGGAACAAAGATTTATAGTCGTGGTACGCGAGGTTGTAATTATTTGTAATTATCTGTTGACGCGTGAAACCGATACGAAAGTCACGGAAAGCTACGGGAAAGTTAGTCGTGGAATTCGACATATGTATTCTCTATGTTGACAATGAGACTAGCATGATGCTAGCGAAGCTCCGTTAAATTCGTAACGCGATCGGAACGCATGATTTGACATTCAAAACTTTCACAATCGATGAGGCACGCAGCGCACCAATTTCCTTTCACTCGCGCGTACGAATTACCGTTTTCCAGCCACTTTGTCACTTTGTCAGAAATTATGGCGACGCTAATCACCTTAGGCGTTTCCTTTGCTCGTCGTGTTTACAGAAAAAGAAGGCTCGGGTCGAAGAAGACATGGCCCAACGCTGGCGCGATTAATCGACCTCTTTCACGATCGCAACAATATCGGCTCTCTCTTTTTTTTTTCATCAGCCGTGCCGTATATCTAGCACCGCGTACTTGACACGGATGTTTAATCTAGGGTTATGCGATTCGATTCTCTCGATTTCAGCGTTAAAAAAGGAATTATTTCTTCGTTAATTTCAGACCTACGGATGGAAGAGAATTTACGACTAAACAAACGATTAATTAGCTATTTACATAAATACGAAGTTTGTCGCGTTTTCGTTCGTATTCGCGATCGCGACGAAATGATTTCGCAACAATTTAGAACGAATCGATATTTTCGTTTGATCCGAAATATTATCGCGAGCGAGACATGGAAGCTTCCGATTTAATTTTCAATGAAAATTTGTACGAGTTGTAGGGGGAATAAGTGAAAAAAATCAACGACAACGAGTAGAAGAACAAGAGCAGGAAAAAATTCGTGTTGTTATCTCGTGCGCTAGTCGCACGTTTGCTTTACCATTTTACCGTCTCTTCGTTCCCAAAAGTGGGGGTTGTCGCTGGTGGTTGGATGGCAGAGCATCGCAGCAGCATATGCGCATGAAGGAAGAGACGTGACAGCAATTGTTGCGGTTGTGTTTGCGCGTTCGTGATTATCGAAGGCCCCTAGGAAAATGGCCGAAGAAACCGAGCCATGGGTGTTTTCCCCGAAAACTCTCTGCGAACTGTGTTTGTCCACGATCGTCAACGTATGCAAGATAGACGAGTTCCTGAAATTGAAGTGTTTCTCCGATCTACCGAGGAACGTGACGTTCGATATTTATTACCAGGTAAACGTCAACGTAAACGTGTCTCCGCGTTGTAGCACTCGAGACTCGAGACGCACACAGTACCAGTGATTCGAACGTATTCATAGATATATCGTTTCGGTGATCCGAGCGGAAAAATTTTCTCGTTCGTTATCGCGATGCTTTCTACCGAGGAAAAATTCGTTTCTTTCGTCGATCTCATCTTCGACTGGGACATATTTATTGGGAAACAATGTTTCGTTTCGATCGACTCGTGCACGATAATCGTAACGAGAAACGATCATCGCGCGATAAACTGTCTATCGTCGTGACACTTGCGACCACTGTGCTTATCACATGTCCAATTCGAAGGGAAAAAGAAGGGTCAGACCTTTCGACAGTCGTCGAAAAAAAATCACGTAAACCTAAATCGAAAGACTCGTGTGTTATATGTAGGTTGGATCTTCGCGAAATAACGAGAGTATATATTTAGTATAATCGCAATCGCTTCGAACGACACGAGGTGAGGTGACAAAAGCTATGCGTGTCGTGCGTTTAACCTGTACTTCTACCTGTACTGTTCTATACATATATATATATATATATATATATATATATATATATATATATATATAGCTTATTCGTGAGGTAATAATTGTACGATTCGTTTACCGTGATTGACACTATGCTTGTGCAACGCTTCGTCGGTTTTGCGTGTGATGAATTTGTGTATCGTCAAAAATTCGAGAGGATATCGATTAAATAAGATTACCCTGAACGTAATATAGGTTAGGGCATATAGTTTTTCAAATGAACAATAACGGTGAACATGTTAATCACAATGTGTCTACAAAAAGGATTTGTTGTCAATTTTAAACAAAAAAACTCGAGAAAACTTGAATAATCTTACTTTCCTTTACTTTGCAGTTGTACAAAGGAAGGAGAATGTGTGTACTAGGGATGCATCTCAGCAATCTGGAAACCTTCTCCAAGATGTTGACGGTTACCGGTCGTCGCGTAGATTTATTAGAGTGTTTCCAGGTAAGAAAATGCAAATAGTCTCTTCCTTATTCTATTTTTAACTTTTTCTATACCAGCAAAAAAATCCTACAATTCAATTTGCATTACTTTTGCAGGGTCTTATGGATCATAGAATACGAATCGGAGAAGAATTAGTGATCAAGTATTGTTTGTGCTGTGCACGCCTTAGCGAAAATCCAGCTGCTCGAAAGAAAATGATAAATCTTGGTTTAAGACTCGGTGGATTTTTGAGCGATTGCGGTTGGTATGTAGAAAGCAAACGGGTGTTGCTGGAATGTCGACAATTATGTCTCGAAAATAATACCACACCTGAAAATTGGTGTCAAACGTTAGAGTGTTGTCGTAGGTAAGCAAAATTTTGTATCGTAAGTTGGAATTTGTTTATTAAGAGAGCAGTCTGTTGATTCCAGATTAGAAAATCGATGGTTTTTTTGCACTTTTTTAGAGACGTGAGTCTTACGAAAATTGTCGCAAGAAGAACATGGCAAAATTCGAAAAATTGATAATTTTAAATTGTGTTACCGAACTTAACACAATTTGAATAAAACATATTTTATTAAACTGCCTTAAAAGAACTATAGGTATAATAATTTTAATTTCAATACAGGTATTAATTAAAAAAACAAAAATTATAAAGGAACCACAATTTTTAGCCAAAAATACCAGGCTGCTCTCTTAATGTGCGTATTTTAATTCACGATAATTCTTCAAATGTATAGATTGTTACACGCGGAAGCGGAATACTGTGCGTTCGAATATGCAACGGAAACGCAACTGCTCGCTTTAGAAATGGTAAAACGACTGAAAGAAGCAGAATTGGACGAATGCAACTATGCCGCTTTATACGTTGAATTCAGCATGGTTCACAGTAAGAAAAATGAATACGATCAGGCTTACAGGTACTACTCGCGCTTTACTTTTATTCTCGTAAAGCCTAATCGATTGTACGTATATCGCTTTCTAGGTGGAGTATAGAAGCATTAAAACAGTTAAAACCCACGCTGCCTGCGCGTGTTATTATCGACGTTTTAAGACAAGCGGCAAAATCGTGTGTATTGAAACGTGAATTCCAGAAAGCTGGTCTGTTGATCAGGCAAGCTTTGTATCTTGCTAGACAAGTATTCGATAGGGGTCATCCAGTGTACAGCAACGTTCTTATAGATTATGGATATTATTTGTTAAATTTTGATCGCACCGGCGATAGTATAACCGTTTACGAGGTTAGAACATCAAATAATTTATTACAAATATTTATTATTTCCGTTCTTATCGCCTACTTACATTTCGACCTTCCTTTCTCACAGAAAGCACTACATATTAGGGAAACGATATTCGGTAGAACGAATTTACATATTGCATTGGCTCACGAAGATTTAGGTTATGCTCTCTACGTGCACGAATATAGCTCTGGTAAATTTGACCTAGCAAGGTAGGTGACTCTATAAGCCGGTGCACTCTTAAAGTTTGGAAATGTCATACAGTTTTATTCTACATTGTATGAACAGTTACCATGCTGGGAAAGCAATAGACATAATGGAAAAGCTTTTACATGGAGATCATTTGTTGTTAGCAAGCGCAAGAAGAGTGCAAGCATTAATTTTTGAAGAAGTAGCATTAGACAGCGAGACGGCACCATTAGTAGAACAACATCTATTATTCAAGGCTGAATGCCTTCACATGTCTGCTTTGGAGTTGGCGAGAAAAGCATTTGGCGAAAAAAATGTGCAAACCGCAAAACACTACGGAAATTTGGGACGTCTGTATCAAAGTATGAAGAAATTTGAGGTACGTACGTATCTATTGAAAATGCATAAAGATTAGCTGGAGAATTAAAGGAATATTCCTATATTTTTTTATAATTTATATTAGGCGGCCGAAGAAATGCACGTTAGAGCTATACAAATTAAAGAAGAAATTTTAGGACCCGATGACCACGAAGTGGGCTTAAGCGTAGGTCATTTAGCTTCGTTATATAATTATCATATGAATCGATATAGAGATGCCGAGAAGCTCTATTATCGTAGCATCGCGATTGGTAAGTATCCAATGTCCGCGTTATTTTACTTTGTCAACAAACGCATAATATTTCTGGTATTAGGTCTAAAATTATTCGGTCGAAGCTACACTAGTTTGGAGTACGATTATCGAGGGCTTTTACACGTTTACACAAAACTGGATGAACATGGCAAAGTAGCGGAATACGAATATGCTTTGAACAATTGGAAAGTACTAAGACTCAACATTCAATCCGAAGACCCGCCGATCGATCTTGAGAAACGACCACAGCCAATCGGAGATGTAATCGATACTTTCTTTTCTATGTAATGTATATTTGTAAAAACTTACCGTCGAATGTTGATATTCATTGATTCTTGTCGCTCGATTCATACCGATTCTGATTTTGTTGGTGTAACTCCAGCCAAAGTATAAACGAAATCACGAATTACTTTATACGACTAGGCATTTCGTAAATCATATATTTTTTCGACTGTACTATTACTACGATTACAAATATTGCCAATACGTCACAAATGAATTTCAGACTTATATCCTTAATCGCATGAAATTCTTCATGTTTGTACTTTCTATTTCACTGTTTTTGTACATGTTAATTATTTTTACAATTAGTTTTAGATGCGAATCAACTAAATTTAGACCCGAATGTTTTTCTGTTGCAATCGATTATCAACAGCATTTACAACACGTACATGAAACGGACACGTTTGTAATTAATGTATGATATAAGATTTATTGATGTACGATGTAAGATTTCTAACTTACGGTAATTTAGAAACCCCGAAGGAACGATTTTTTTAATTGTAATATATTCACGTATGTGTAATTTTACATACGGCGCATGTACACATCGTTTTTATGTATTATTTCCCAATTGATCGAAGATATCAAAAGACAAAAAATTATTCGCGTTCGTAATCCGGAGCTTCGAAAAATTGTCTAAACATATCGTTTTGTTAGATAGCTGTGCTAAATCAATTACATTTATTATACTTCATTCGCAAACCTTGTGAAATCAAGAATGTGATATGTAATATTATTTTTTGTTGAACTTTTTGTTCCTATATAAACATTGTAATAAACACCGAGTCTAGAACAATTTATTGTCTTTGAGAATATTAAATTAGAAGAGTTATACGATGCGATAGGAGTATGTAAAGATTTCTGCTGCTTTGAAAATAAATAAAGAAACAGGACAGTTTCTTTTTTGAAATATTTTGCTATTGACGCGAAAAGAACAAGACATTAGATAAATATTCATAAACTTTTTAGATAACTCACATACATTCAAAAGCTTTAATCTTTTAAATTACAATAAACATTAAGTAGTACATAATTCGTATTTACACGATATTTATCTTATCACTCGAGTTGTCAGGTAATAGGAATTTTATCTAGCCCCCTCCCACACTAGCAGCATCTCTAAATCTTTCTGAAAACAATCGCAAAATGATTTTTCGATTATTTCGATCGCATCGTCGAGTTCGTTCTATGAATATTCATTAGCAATTACCAAATTGATATTGCACATCTTGCTGGACTGATTTTGCGTTAGAATATTTAATCAGGTGTGTGTGGTGGTTCTTGGCTAAAATACGGTGCGGTATCTTGCACCAACAAGGTATGGCAAACATCACAGACTCTGGATGGTCTTTGTTTCGGTCCACTTTTCACGACGTGCGAAAGACAGGACTGACAAAATATATGGCCACAATGACGGCAATGCACCTGTTTAAATACACATCGATCATCACCGACTCCTACAAACGATAAAAACCCGTTTTATTTCGTTACCTTTTTCTTTGTAACAGTGAAAGAAGTATGACAACTAGGGCATTCTTCTACATCCTCTTCGTGTTGCCATCTTACTTCGCTACCGGCTTGTCTAATTCTTTCTAATTGTACCTATCGCCAATAGTAAAGTTCAAGTTAACATTGGATTAGAACCTACCGATGTATTACATTGTCCAACCAATAAAAATCATAAATACTCGCTAAAAAGTTATTGAATAGAGCAATGTTGCTTTTGAATTCGTGTTGGACAATGTTATCTTTCTTATTCTTTCATACCTGTAACGATTGCGACAATCTAACGAAGTCTTTTTGAACCGCTTCGCTGGTATCTAGCTCTTGCTGAAGACTGGTAACTCTTTGCCGTAATTCGGCTACTTTTAATTCAGCTTCTCTATTTTCTTTCAAAACTATGTCCAATTGTTTTTCTAAACGTTCGAGTTTTTCCTCTCTTTCGGCGAGCGATCGATGATCCCTCACGTATTTATCTAATTGTGTTCTACAAATGATCATTATTAAAATTGTCTCGTTTTATGTTCCGTAAATCGATGTTCTACCATAGTAAAACACTGATTACCTTAACCCGCTAATTTCATTTTTCAATGCCAATACTTCTTGTTCCTTCACTGTGCTTTCCTGTTCCATTTGTTCCTGGAGCAAGGTCACTTCGTACCGTAACGTTTCCTCCTTCTCTTGTGCAACTTCTTGAGCAACTTTAGCGGTGATCAAATCCTCGCGCATTTTTAAAAGACTAACGTGCAACTCCTCGACATTATTCGGCATATTGATGCTCTCACTCTGCAATTGCTGGGAATGCTTGCTATGCTTGCCAACGAGGTTCTCATTTTCCTTTTGCAGTCTGCAAAGATTCAACTAGATTTTCAATAAAATTTTGCCAAGAATGCCTCGGTAAAATATGTTTTACTTCATCTACATTTAAAACTCGTAAGTGAGAATGAAATAAAAATTCGAATATCATTAGAAATTTTCTTACGCGACAAGGTGTCTTTGTACTTCTTCCCGGCCACGCGTCAGTTTGACGAGTTCGTCTCTGATGTTTCTCTGAACGTGTTCAAACGTTTTTTTCAGATCTGTCAGAGTCTGTTGCATCGTTTGCGAGGTGGCAGTGAGCTCCGCTACTTTGATTTTATGCTCCTCTTTCTTTTCGTTCCATTTCTCTTCCATTTCTTTACGAAACTCCACCTCCTTGGTTAGTTCATCTTTTTGCGCTTGCAACATACGTTCCGAATCTAGCAGTTGTTTCTCCATATCTTTAGCGTTCGCTTGCATCTTAACTAATTGTGCTTCGTAATTCGCGCACATGTCACACGCTGGTTCGAAGGAACCGGATTCTCGTTGCCTTCTCTGTGACTGTGCTTCTTTACACTTTTGCAACTCGTCGTCCGTGGCTCTCAATTTCTCTTTTAAGGCTTTAATTTCTTCTTCGAGCGGCACTACCAACGAACGCAATACTTCCGCATCCTCCTGTGCCTATAAAGCAATACTTTCTAATATTTGCACACCTATTCGAAATCGATAAAAAGAAAAAAAGAAAAAAAAACAAGCAATAAAATAAACACCTCTGAATGATGTTCGAAATGATTCGTGAACAATTTCTGAAATGCGGTGCCTCTTTACAAACTCATTGCAGAAAAGTTCAAAAATCATGGATTTTTAAGTTTACGTACATATCTTTTTACCTTCCTCATACTTTCTTCGAGATTGTCAGGACCTAAAGACAAAGCATCTGCACCTATTTGCTTAACTACTTTTCGAGCTATCGTTTTCGTTACTGTGGACAGCGATATCTGAGGGCTATCTATGGGAGGGTCGCGAGGTAGCTGTGACTTTAATAACGCGTTTTCTTCTTGCAACTTGGAAAGAGTTGTCTTTAACGTTGAAATATCGGCGTCTAATCGTTTGCGCGAACACGAAGATTCCTCCACCGTTTCGTGTATAACCCGTTGCAAAGAAGCTATCTCCTCTTGAGCTTTTCTTTTCTCTATAAGAATATCATTCTGAATTTTAAGATCGGCAACAACCAGCTGACTTTTGGCTTCGTCCAATTCGTTTTTCAGTCTTGTGTTTTCTTCTTGCAGACACGTGTTATCCTGCAATCTTCTGTTCAATTCTTCTGCAAAGAAACTTTGTATGTCACAGAATGCTCGTACAACGATACTTTAGACTCCCGTTTTGTGTCTTTGCTATATTTATCCGTAATGATCGAGGTTTACCTTCTTTTTGAAGGTACAACTCCTTCAACTTGGCTCTCTGAATGTTAAATTCCTCTCGCATCTTCACGTTCTCTGATTCCAGTTTAGTTACTTTCTCCTGTAGGTCCTCTGAATCGTAACGAACACTCTGGTTAGTAAAATTGTTGAAACACAAAAAATTGTTGAATATGATAATAATTTCGTGCCGCGAGATGCGATTTTTCGAGAGAATCTCTCGAAAAGTGTTAGAGATAAACGTGACATTGACGATGACACAGAGAGTAAATTTTGCGAAAGCGTAAAATTTGGAGCGTGCTTTGGAACGTACCACTTCCGTTCATGTTGATCGTGTTATCCTGCGTGGTGTGGTTCTCCATTGTTCAACGAATTAGAGCAGCTAAACGGAATTTTTTCGAGGTGGGTCACTGCTTTTCGTGCAAGGTAGAAATATGTATTCTGAAACTCTCCTCGGCCGAATCTTTCGGTGACATTATGTCACGAGTGCCACTTTCAGATTTCACTGACAGTCATTACACGGACGACACTGCATAGCGGTAACGATCGCGCGTATCCATGCAGAACGATGTCACGTTCAATGAAACAGAAAATGAACCTCAACAATTTAGCGGTCCGTCAGCGGTGTATTATCAGCACTAGCACTTCCTCGTTAATCGGTATCGATATTTTGAACGGTGCATATTCGATAATCGACTCGTCGCTGCGATCGACTACGACGACATAACTCGTTCGTTTCACGACCAATTTAAAACGCACCCAACACCGCCGATGAATAATGCACACCGTAATTTATCGTGAATCGATAACATTTTTCATCAGTATTTCCACTCACGTAACGCACAATTCGAACTCATGTGTATCGAGTTTACCAAAACTCTGATCGACTTAAATAATACAAGATCGGGTTGTGTATCCGTCATTATATAAACTGTATGTAATCTAATGACGTACTCACACCAAATATTCGATAAATACGTGTTTATCTATCTATGTATTTCCAGCTAGTATACAAATATTTTATAAACCACCTTACTCGTTGTTAACTGTCTACATATATCTACACATGTATACTTCTTAAGCACCGTGCTACTACCTATAAACTTGAACTTAACTCCGTATTTATTCTTTGCTGATTAGATACCGAATGTGCGTGTTGATATTCGATCATCACAAAATGGAATACTTATATCCGATATATTTGTTGTAGTTTAACAACAATATCATTCGAACGTGCCTATAGCTGTATGACTACACTTAAATTTGAGCGGGAAAAATGCTGATAAGAGTTCGCGGTTTTTTTTACCCTCAACGAATAAGCGTGTCGAAAACATCGAAATGAATTTCCCAGCGTTATCTGCCCCTTCTTCCTTATGAATCAAACGTATGCACAATTGTAACAGTTAAAACAAAAAAGATAATACAAGACGATAAATTTCATAATTGTACTGGGACAGACAGAAAGGGAAGATGAAATATCGATTGACAATTTTTACGGTGTAAACAATGAATTCACGCAACGCTTCGCAAATAACCATTGTAACCGCGAAACTGTTCTGTTAGCGATTCATAATTCTATAATCGAGTAAGAAGAAACTGTTAATATATGCGTATGGAGAAAAGAGAGGGAGAAACGTTAGCCTTGAAGTAGCTTTCGATTCTGGATTGGATTGAGTAGAGTTGTGGTAGTTGTCCCGAGTTGCCTGTTGCAATCGGCGCATCCACGACTAAATACGCTGTCTCGGTGTCTGTTAGTTGTTGCGGCAAGGTTGTCGTTACTAATGGACATTTAACTTCGAATATCGATCAAAATTGATGATCCCTTGTGAATCTACAGGGGAGCATCGAAACTTGATCGTTTTTCATTCGTTATGTCGTGGTGTTGTCTAAATGTTGTGAACTGTTGAATTTCGAAAAGGTACGAACGTCGCCATTCTGTTTCTGTCAATTGACGCAGTTAACCGTCTAATAAATCGCGTCGGATGTTTATTCTTTTGCTTTTTACGAGTCGTCATCGCGTAACAACGTATTATTTCCCGTTGCGTCGATGCATTCTGCGCTTCGAAGCAATCGTTTAAATGTAAACCTTCATTCGGTTGTAATCCTAATTTTCCAATGACAAATCTAATGTTTCAAACTTTTTAAAAAGCTCCATTCTTAATAGAATAACACACATGTAATAACTGTAATATTCTAGAACTAATACCGTCAAACTGCATCATGAGCGGAATATGGAGAGAACATTTATTGGAAGCTACCAGTCCGGCTATTATGGAAAGTCTGGAGAGTATGTGCATTTGTAACATGGCGATACATCATTCCAACTGTGAACCGGATTCTGTAAATGGAATTCCTGAAAATGGTCTACGAGCAAAATGTTGCTGCAGCCGATCTAAGAGTTTTTTATTGATAGATGGACGAGAAAATCTTAAAGTTTCCAGCGCCGAACAATTTGTAGAGAAATTGAATTGTAAAGAAAAAGATGTCAAAGTTAAGGTGGTATCCGTTTTTGGGAATACAGGCGATGGCAAGAGTCATACGTTGAATCAGACGTTCTTCAAAGGAGAGGAAGTATTCAAAACTTCAAACGAGCAAAACTCTTGTACGTTAGGCGTGTGGGCAGCGTTCGATCCGGTTTTTAATGTGATTTGTTTGGATACAGAAGGTTTATTAGGTATTACAAACATTTGTTCCATACAAATAGTCGTTGGCTAAGAGCTCGTTTTATGCATAACCCATTTCATTGTTTTTTTTTAGGTGTTACTACTCACGAAAAAGAACAAACAAGGTTGTTGCTCAAAGTCCTCGCCGTATCTGATCTCGTAGTATATAGGACGCAATCTGAAAGACTGAACAGGGATTTGTTCACGTTTCTGGGTACAGCTTCGCGTGCGTATAGTCACCATTTTCAAGACGCGTTGCAAGCAGTGGGACAGAAGGAAGGCGTTCCAAATTCCTCAAACGCATTGGGACCAAGCATTATAATATTACACGAAACTAAATACACCAAGCCTTTGAACAATAGTACATATTGCCACATTCTCAGATTGACAGTAATTTCAAACTAAGAGGTTTTTTATAAATTGAACCGTTAGCTCTACGATAAACATACTATCTTTTGTCTGTCACAGATGGTATGGAAAATGCCGAAGACATTCTTCGTACCCAATTCACTTGGATGAAACTCAAAACGGAAGCGTTTAGTTCGATAAAATATATCGGCCTGCAGACAGCAAATTTCGCTACTGATTACGAACCCTTGCAGACTGCCATTAAAAAAGAAATAAATAATACATCCGTACGATCTGCCAGGCAGCCGCATTTAATTTATAATATATTGAAAATTCTAAACGACAAGTTCTCTGGGAAGATTGAACATTTTTCCAACGCTTTATTCCCCGATCAGTATTTTACGTGTCCCGTTAAATGTCTTAGTTGTGGATGTAGATGCAGCAATAGCATGGGACACCTTCGCGAGGGAAAACCTCACAGCTGCAATACAAGGTGAGCCTTGATTAGACAAATGTTTGCGATACAACGTTGAATAACGTTTAAAAATTATTTCACTGAATGATATTTTAATAGGTGCCGTTATCAACATCAGTATGAAAATCTAGTATATATATGTAAAACGTGTTACAGTAACGGAAACGAAGTACAAGTTATAAAAAAAATTCAACCAGAGAATGATAGTAGTTGGTATGGATTAGTTAAGTATGCATGGTCCAGAGATGTGATAGAATGTCCACATTGTGGAGAGATATATAGAAGTCGTCAGTATTGGTACGGTAATCAAAATCCAGAAGACTTTGCCGTTCGCACAGAAATTACACACGTATGGAACATGGTATGCTAGTAGCACGTTACTTCCGATTTCTTTTTCTTAACCAAAATAAAATTTAACGGCCTGTATTGTTTGTTCAAGGCGAATAATTCGGCGGTAACGTCACAAAATACAGCGCAAAAGGTAATCGATAGTGTGTCGTATATCACCGAAGCTGTAACTAATGTTTCCTTGCAACCGACGAAGGTGCTCTCGGCATGGGTCGCCGATCAGGTAGCACCATCTTATTGGCGACCCAACAATGAAATAAAGCACTGCCACAAATGTAAAATTCTGTTCGGAACAACGGATACGAAACATCATTGTCGCGCATGCGGCGAAGGCTTTTGCTCGCAATGTTCGTCTAAGAAGAAGTCCGTTCCATCGAGGAACTGGCACACACCTGTACGAGTCTGTGATGCGTGTTACAGCAAAGATTCGAATTCCAACGACGAAGCTACCGAGTATACCGAGGACGTAAACGCCAGAAAAGTATCAGAACAAGTAGTATCTACTTTGAGCGCGGTTGGCACAGTTCTGAATTACTCGAAATGTAAGAATTTCAATTATTATCCGTAATCTACTCTATTCCTTGGTCGCTTAACACTATTTTTGTAATTTATTCAGCATTAATCAAGGATACGGTTCGACCTTCCTACTGGGTCCCCGATTCGGAGGCGGTTAGCTGTTGCATATGCGACAAACAATTTTCCATTGTACTTCCCCTACATCACTGCAGAGATTGTGGTCGCGGCGTATGTCAAAATTGTTCGAAACATCGTCAGGCTGTTCCGCACAGGGGATGGGAATACCCTGTTCGAATTTGCGACTCGTGCAGAAAAATCAATTGAGGGAAGGAGGACGATATACGACGATAAATTTGGCGTTGCAAAATCGATCGAAGTAATAATTTTATTTTTCTCTTTCAAATGTTGTTTAAGTTAACAACTCGTTCATATTACTATCCGACGAAATCTCTGTACATGTTCGGTACGATTTTTATTACATCCGCAACGTGTTTCGCGATCGAACGAACCAAAAATTAATAGTTTAATACATTACTGTAAAAAATTGTCCTATGGATTGTGCCATACCAATGTAATTTACCTTTTCTGCGAAAACTGCATTAAGAAGAAAAAAAGAATGAAACACTCGTCGTTAAGATTACAATACCATACAGTATAAAGTACACGGTACGGTACAGTATATGCGTATAGTAACGGTATATTATGGAATCGTGAAGAATTGTGCGATATGTTCTTCTTGACGAAGTGGGATGTGAAACTGTCGTATGTAACGCAGTTTATTGGGCTGTGATAGTCTTTAGATTCCACGAAGAAAGCATTTGCTGATTCCTCTATTATAATTTCCAGTACGTATTACGATTTTATGTAAGTTAAAGAAAACAATTATTATACTTTCCAGTAAATGCTGTAAGTAAGTTATTTTGGTTTAAAATAACAAAATAAAGTATTAATACTTGAAGGAAACGGCTTTCTAGTTCAAATAATAATCCTGATTCAATAGCATCACCTAAGGCAAGGATTATTCAAAATAAATTCTGTTTTGCGTAATAAGTTAAACTTTTGTTATAGAGAGGTAAGACTTTTCTAACAGAACTCCTGTCTTGCACCTTATCGACCGTTCATGGAACAGTCTCTGATTATCGAGTTAGTAAATGATAAAATTGAAAATCTAGCGGAGACAAATCGAAAGGTTTCGAGGAAATTCATGTTTTCCCGGCAAAGATACGATACATCGATGTTCGCGATGCGATACAAGATGTTTCGACGACCACGTGATGACGTCAAAACATGGCGTCTCAAT